TGACAGAGTCGGTTTGTGTTTGGCGTAATAAATGACGGTACGACATTACGACAATGGGACGAGAAGTATTGATTTATGGCGCACCAAACGGCAAAGGAAAGGTAAGCGCAGGATGTTCTCCGAGGTGCCGGTCATTCACTAAAGATCTTCAAGGGGATGTCGCATGCGGTATCCGAGATGCCTCGTAGGCTGCGCGAAGTTTCTTCTAGGTGTACAGGTAGGAGAGATAATCGTGGTTGTTGAGGGTAGTGCAGTGATGGTAAAGTTTCCTTTTCCCCTCCAATGTTTATTGTTTACACCCTTCCCGAACGATAGCGTCCCGCGCGACGGATGGCAATCCGAGACCAATTGATATCGGCTTCTCTTCCGCGAATGAAGTATGAATACGTATGGATATTCCAATCCCAAGATGGTATATCGTAATCCAAGTTAATCCCTATAGCTATTAAAAGAAGAATTGAAGGTTGAGCAATGTGGAAGGGATTTTTTCTTTCAAGCCATCAGCATCCAATATTAAGATTATTCAGCAGACAGACAAGCTGGAAGAAGCGATAGCGGAAGTAATGGATGTGATATTTCAGTAGGGTATAGTATTGTTATTGTTGTTTATGTTTATGTGTAAGTGTAAGTGTAAATGTAAGTGTATGTGTATGTGTGGAGAGACGACTTCGTGGTAGTTGGGTATATGTGGTATCGTTATCGAACTGATAAAAGAAGTGGAAGGGATGATGGATGCAAGGTATAATGGATGTGACAGGATGATGGTGGGATCAGTGATATGAATGTCTAACTGGACGTCTTGTATTCGGAGATATTTAAATTAGGAAGGAGGGATCCAAGGAGGGATGAAGGTGATTTTTTCTCTCGATGTTTGGATGGATCCAGAAGAGTAAAGAGCGAAGAGTGAAGAGTGAAGAGGAGTGAAGTGAGGTTTGCCAATGATGAGTGTGTGAAGTGAAGTGAGGGGCTGGGGAAAAAAAGACCTGACCTGAATTTCCATTTGTTGATCCGTAAGTGGAAGTGGAACACTTGATCAAGGTACGGTACCTACCTACTATGATGTTTACTATTCTACTACGTATGTACAGTGCAGTACCGGGAGTGGATATTGTTCACATCATCAGGCACCGAGCATTTACTCAATTCATACCTCACTGTTGAAATAGGGTTTTTTTTTTTTACTCCCAAGAATTGCTTTTTCTGGATCAAACGCAGGGTTAATTTTTGTTTACATTCAATTCTTGCTTTTACACGGTTCGCTTCCGTTGCTCCAGCAAAAGAGGTGAGGTTGACAACACAGAGGAGATTTTAACCAATGAACATGCGAAGCGCTGAGAATAAATCCTTGTACCCAGTAGCATTCGTCCATTCCATCTCATTTTCGGAGTTTTATGGAGATCTTTTATTATACTTTGGTGTCGGATCGGTCTTACATTTTTCCTCGCTATTGTCTTGCAATTACCTATAAGTATGAGATCTCACCTGGCACGTGCCTGGGTAGATTGTCAACACTATCTTTTTTAGTATATGAATGCTACCTAAGGTTTGCACTCTGTATGTATGAAGAATGAAAGAAAGTATTTGATCATCACATACAAATTGTTAGAATCCAAGAATACCTAGGTATCTATCTACTGTATCTAAGATTACAATATATATACTATATATATATATACAAGATTTAGTCTTATTAGCACCAGAGCGGAGCGAAAAAGCCTCCACGGCAGTGGCCAAGCGGAGCGTCATTTATCGATTACTTCTTAAGCAGGTCTTCTCGATCTGGTCTGATCCTTTTCAATTATCCCCAGTCATCTATTTGAAGTCATCTCAATTCTCAATTCTCAATTCTCATTGCTCAATCCCAATCGAGCCAAGCCATACTCATCTGGGCATACCTACCTACTCGTACATTGACCTTTTTCATATCTTCACGTGACCTCACCTTATCGACACACTACTTAACCATTATTGGTTTAGTTCCTCAAATATGCCGTAATTTTCGCCCCGCATATCTCACATTCATAATAATTTTTTCTCTTCTCTTTTTTCCCTTTCTCTTTTTTCTCTTGGGAGAAGGAAACTTCAACCCGTCGACTGTACATTTTCATTCAAGAGATTTGATTCCATCAATAACCTCAATTTCTAGTCTTCGTACTTCAAAGGTCGACTATCTCTTTGTCATCTTTTCCAATTTTTCTCATTTCTTTGAATTCTTGATTTGAATTCATCCCCTCTTACTTTTTCCCTGCACATCTACCCACACATCTCTACAAAATGTCTCCTCAAGCAAACGGAGATTCTAAGCCATCTGCTTCTGACTTCTTGGCTCCAGCTAAGCAAGTTTTGGATGCCACAAAGGCTCTCGAAATCCTCAAAGAGTATGAATCTCGCGATGGTCTCAGCATCAATGACTTGATCGATTCCAAGAAGCATGGAGGTTTGACCTACAATGATTTCTTGGTTCTTCCAGGCTACATTGGATTTGCTGCTTCTGAGGTCGTTCTCGATTCTCCAGTTACCAAGCGCATTACCCTCAAGACTCCTTTCGTTTCTTCCCCCATGGACACTGTCACTGAACACGACATGGCCATTCACATGGCTTTACAAGGTGGTCTTGGTGTTATTCACCACAACTGCTCTGCCGACGAGCAAGCCGAGATGGTTCAAAAGGTTAAGAGATACGAGAACGGTTTCATTCTTGACCCAGTCGTACTTAGCCCACAGGCAACTGTTGGTGAAGTCAAGGATTTGAAGGAGAAGTGGGGTTTCGGAGGATACCCAGTCACAGGTTCGTACTCCCTTTCTCATTCTTTCACCTCTACTTGCACCTTTACATGATTATTAAAACATAATTCAAATAACTTTCGTTCATCCGTATTGACCGCAAGGTCGTGGGGAGACAATTACTTTTTATGATTTTTGGTGTTTCATCTTTACTATTCCAAGAATGATGCTTTCTTGCAGCTGCTAACATCTGCAAAAACAGAAACCGGAAAATTGGGCTCCAAACTTGTCGGTATCGTCACCAACAGAGATATCCAATTCGAAGAAGACAGCGCGTCCGTCTCAAGTGTTATGGTTACAGATTTGGTCACTGCTTCATATGGTACTGAACTGGTTGAGGCCAATGCCATCCTCGCCAAATCCAAGAAGGGAAAGCTTCCAATTGTTGACAAGGACGGAAACCTCGTTTCTATGATCTCCCGATCTGATTTAAACAAGAACATTCATTACCCATTGGCTTCCAAACTTCCAGATTCCAAGCAATTGATCTGCGCTGCTGCTATCGGTACCAGACCCGAAGATAAAATTCGTCTTCAAAAGTTGGTCGATGCTCAATTGGACATTGTTATCCTTGACAGCAGTCAAGGTAACAGCATGTACCAAATCGAGATGGTTAAGTATATCAAGGAGAAATACCCTGATCTTGACGTTATCGGAGGTAACGTCGTTACTCGTGAGCAAGCTGCGTCATTGATTGCCGCTGGTGTTGATGGTTTGAGAATCGGAATGGGTAGTGGAAGTGCTTGTATCACTCAAGAGGTTATGGCTGTTGGTAGACCACAAGCTGCTGCTGTCTACAACGTTGCTTCATTTGCTGCTCGTTTCGGTGTTCCATGTATGGCTGATGGTGGTATCCAAAATGTGGGTCACATTGTCAAGGGTCTTGCTCTTGGTGCTACTACCATCATGATGGGTGGTCTCTTGGCCGGTACCACTGAATCTCCAGGTACTTCTTTCGTCAGTCGTGAGGGTAAGCTTGTCAAGGCATACCGTGGTATGGGTTCCATCGATGCTATGCAAGATAAGAAGGCTGGTGCTGGTGCCAAGGACAGCCAAAAGAGCAACGCTGGAACTGCCAGATATTTCTCTGAAGGTGACAGTGTTCTCGTTGCTCAAGGTGTATCTGGTGCTGTCGCACACAGAGGGTATGATGTCCATTAATCATTTTATGTTTCCAATGCTAATACTTTTTAGCTCCGTCACTAAGTTTGTTCCATACCTCGCTGCAGGTTTGAAGCATTCTCTCCAAGACTGTGGACAAATGAGTCTCCAAGCACTTCACGAGGCTGTTGAGAATGGTACTACCCGTTTCGAATTGAGAACTGCCAGTGCTCAACTTGAGGGTGGTGTCAACATGGAGAGCTACGAGAAGAAGCTTTACGCATGATGCGCTTAGATAACGTTTTATGAAGGGGCATGAGCATGAAATCTAGTCATCTGGAGGGCCATTTGCATTTATGGAGTTTATTACCTGGCGTTTAAAATAGGACTACATCGTTGGTCTTTTGGGTGGAGAAAGAATAAAATACATTACAAACACATGTAGTTTTGAATTTGATTAAGTGATGTTGACATGGTGTGACAATTATCATATTACACATGTTCTGAAGAGAACCTTGCCATCGAAATTAACCTACACTAGATGATGGTATCTTGACTCTTTCCATCTCATCGCCGTTTGATTTTCTGCCTACAGTTCTACAGACAACTTTAGGCACTTGATAAGAGAATTTGCGATAGGAACACTCATCCGATTGAACGAATTTTGCGACACATTTGTCCACCATCGCTTGCACCAGATTGCCGATCTCAAACTCGGCAATGGAGTGAATGATGCAATCCAAAACCTTCATGCATTTATGGAATACGTACACAGGATCGGCTCAAATTTTTTCAGAAAACTATCGAGTGGAGGTAGACATTAAAGGCTTCATCTTCATGGTACTTGGTAGATGCAATACTATGCTTCGCTCTCTCAACCATTGAGGGGTTGCTTTGATCGATCCCTAGTCATTTCATTGTAAAGGTCCGCGTTGTATAATTCACGAGACAAATACAATGCGAATGGAGATGATTTGAATGGAAAACAGAAAATTATTTATCTATGTAGGTATAACAAATGCTTTCCAAGAAGAAGCCGTTTGCGACGTTTAGATTTTCTTGGATTTCGGCCTGAGCAGCACGTAATCCTTGTGAAGTTTCTCGGACCTATCTGCTTAGATCTTTTGGAAGATTTTCGACTTGAAAGCTTTCAACATCAAAGGGTTCATGGTCGAAAGTGTAGTAGCCAATGGGTAATCACTGGAAACATCATCTGGAAGAATGAACACATATCTTACTTTGATGAACTTGGTATCTTCGGGGCCGAAAATATGAATGGGTTGGGGTCTACCAATCTTGACGTCGCCGTCAGGATGTGTTTCATAATCCCATTCTGGGTTTCTCGTTTGTGGAAGCTCACAAGCTAATAGTATTCCGCAGTACGAGTAAAGATCTGGTTTCCACAATGAGTCAATGGCTCGGTGTCCCACATAATAGTAGGAACTCGCAGGCTCCTCTGCCATGAAGAGAGTAGAAACTTTACCATAAAGCTCTTCGCTTTTTGCTTCTAGGCCATTCAAAAGGATACTTGGTAGATATGCCAGGCTCGTGCCATGAAAAAGCACCATCGGTCCTGTTTTCTCATCGTTGGGGTTTTGGGATGCATCAGAAGACTGCTTCGGTGCTTGAACAACCACAAACTGACAGACGGAGTCTGGAAATCCGGATATCCTTAACTTACCATTCGCTGGGATCAAGTATCCTCCGTAGTTTTCAGAGAGATCCTTTACGAGTTTCAAGCACTCGGGTGCTTTTTTTAAAGTCCCTGCTATTTCTCGCGTAGATCTCATAATTGCAAAACTTTGGGGGAATCCCTCCGTGAAGTCGTCGAGAGGGATCGATTGGGGAGAGCCAGGGAAATGTATCTCATCATGATTTCGTAGTATAGCATCGGCATAAACTGAACTAAGAAGTAAATCGATGACTTGAGAATTCAATTTGACGGCAGCAGAAATCTTCAAAACAGATCTGCGCATTGAAAGATTGTCAGAGCCATTTTCTTCATCCTTACCACTCCATATCCAAGTACTAAAATCGAATCAGCATTATCAAAAAGTGATGAGATTCCTGAATCCTCCTCGCTGGAGCTCATGTAACTTACACATCTTGTAGAAGCAGATTGATACAATCCATTCTGGTCAATCCCTCACTATCACGAATCAATTCTTCATTCCGAACCGTTTCGCGTAATTCTGCTGCACTCATCTTATACCATCCCGCAATGGTATTGACGAGAACCGGATCAAGAAGCATCCCCGGTTTCAGGTATCCAATTTGATAGAGGGCGTAGACGGCTTGAAGAATAGGCTTCAGGGAATGGCGATAAAAATTGACTTTAGAAGCGGCGAGCTTATGGAGTAGTGTTTTCTTTGTGGTGGTCATGGTATTTATTGCCTTGCTAATACTAGATGCTGAAGCCATTTTTGCTCGTGATAATGGTCAAGGTAAGGTAAGAGATTCGGTGAATGCTGTTGTTGAAATTTCAGAATGCTTTGTACGGGCTTTTTCGAGGTACTTGGGATGAACGAAAGGGTTGACTCGATGATGCTTCATTAGAAACCATCTTTCTTATACTTATTCATAGTAACAAATCGACACCATTTCTCGAGTATGGAAGGGAATCGATTCATCGACGAGATTCGTGCAGAATCCGCGCATGTTTCAAGGCTAGAAATGAACTGAATCAATAATGGGAAAATATTCAAGTCATCCACAATACTCATTTAAGAACATCATCAAGAATTGTGTAGTCTATTCCAGCAAATGGACTAAGAATGTTACTACACCAGATCGTTTTATCTTCGAACTGGAACTCAATAGATACCTCCATGAACTTCATGGCCAAAGAACATGTCTTCAAGGTCCAGGACCTTCTACGGGAACTCGGGTGAGGTAGGCATCGCGTCTCCCCTTCGATAACCTATGCTGCGAGGTTCGACTACCTGTATGAAACAAATCAGGTCTCTATGGTGGCAAATTTCACCTTGATCAACTTCAATCTGTGTAAGAAAATGTCCATCCCAGCGAAGAGAACAGCGAAGAGTGAGACAATCCCTGCGTCGTTTATTTCTTCTGGCTTGAATATCTATATGTGCATATCTTCTATCTAACAAATATGAGGTGGAAGCTACTAGCCTTGAGGCATCGGAACATTTAATTAAAAGGTCGAATGAAGACCATCAAAACACAATCTTCCATTCTCATCTGGAATAGCATCGTTGCTAACCACACTGGCGACTTCACTTCCCACTCCGGTCTTGGTCCAGAATAATGACCATGGATCAGTCGCATCTTTAATGCGCAACAACCTATCGTAATTCACACCGTAGAAATTATGTTGCCAATCTACCTCCTCAATATCGCACTCTCCAAGATATGCTCCCGTGCCCGGGGTAACAGCTTTCCACGCAAGTTGAAGTTCGCTAAGCTTAGCCCGAGCGGAAACCATAGTGGTGGAATTGGTAGGATCCGTCCACGATGTACCTTGCATAGTGTGAAGAGTAGTCTTCCTCCACGCGGGCAAAACTGCATTATCAACCCCTGCGACATTTGGTGCGTTGATATTGAAACCTACAAGCAATGAAGCATTGTTTCTCGATGAGCCTGACCAAGCATCGAATGTTGCGTTGAATGTTGCTTCGTCCTCAAGATATTCTTGTAGAAAGAGCCGGAAGCCAACAATAGCATCATCGGATCCAACAGTTTCTTGAGCGAAAGATGCATCCCATCCTTCATATAGCGTATCATAGGTATTGTATACTGGTGTAAAGTCTATGCCGAGTGCAGTGAGTTTTCAGAACCAAGGTGCCAACAAGGCTTCAGTTTCGGCTTGAGTATGATTTGGTGCCCAGAATGGAGACATAATGAAATAATCCACTCCGAGAGCTGCAGTGGGAAAAACGAAAAAGTAGCTGTAGATCCCGACATTGTCAAAAGTGATAAAGCTCTCCAAATAAGCACGGACACCGAGCCAGAAAGCATCATCAGTAATATTGCCACCAGAGGCGAATGTGAAAGTTACAACTGTGACAGGAGTCGTTGGGTAAGCTTTGATCGTGAGAGATGTCGCCACACCCCATGATGCGGGACCACCTCCACGTAAAGCCGAGAAAAGATCGGTGTTTTCCGTTGAGGATGCAGTAACAAATCGTCCATCGGCTGTGATAAGACGAGCAGAGATGACCTGATCTGCAGCAAGACCGTACACTGAAGTCATAGGACCATGCTTGCTTCGCTGCCAACAACAACCATCCCCTGCTCGCTAGCTGCTTTCATAATATCTGCACCGACAACACCACTTCCAGATGTGAAAGCGGATCCTGTGTAAGGGAAACTCGCATCAGTGAATTTAGCACCCTCATATCTGATATCTTGTAACCAATGAGTCCAAACACTTAAACAACCTGCTCCACCGAATTTACCAGAGAACTCATGTCCCGTATTCTTGACCACAAACCTGATGCCAGTATTTCTTGCAAAATTGACGGCAAGTTGTATTTGTGCGACATTTGTGGCATTGACTACGTAAGCAGGGTAAGCGCCAAGTGTGCAGGTTGCTGTTGGGTCGGTGGTGGGCATGCAGGTTAGACCTTGATAGATTGGGGACATCATGGAAGTAGGATCCTCTTCATGCATGGTAAAGTTAGACCAATTGTCTGTGAAAAAGGCGCATTTATCTGCGTTCTATGCAATCTGTTAGTATCGTATCTTTTGGAGGGTCGATTTGATTAAGTAAGTAATGTTCAAGGTAAATTTGGACAGTGGAAACTCTATTCGTTTGGGGAATCGCGTTGGTCATTCCACCGCGTTCGAAGACTTCAAGTATAAAAGTAGACTCACATAGTTCCAATCATTATAACAGCTTGATGCGATGGGTATAGTTTTAATCGGTGCACCACCAAGTAGGTCATTGAAGATATCCCAAACATCATCCGCAGGCCAATCCGCATCTCCAGGAAAGACTTTACACGCCGATCTCGAAGAAGCAATGTTTGATGCATCTACTGAAGAAGCATTCCCAAATGTGAAAAGCGCTTGCATGGAAGCATTGAGTTGTGCGAGATCTGAAGTCTTCAACTGGATGGTCTCAAAATCAAAGAGTGCTGTTGAAGAAGTGCCATTGTCTTGTCTACGAGCATTTGTAGCAGCAACTAGACCAGCATTAAAAGAAACAAGGTTGTAAAAGAGTGAAGACTTCATCTTGACTTTGACCACTCTGAGATTATCCCAGATAGGACAGAACAATGGGTATGATGAAGGTATACCAATTAAGGCAACAATAGCGATAAAGGGAAAGAAATAACCTACGAATTATCGGGATCAACTTGCCTTTTCATAGTGAAGACAAGATTCGACAGAAAAGTCAAACAATATAAACGTGTAGACTATCACGATATGTGTGGAGTAGTCAGTCGTTCGGAGTTTGGTAAAGAGACAGACCAAATGGAGATAAACCGCCTCATGGTGTGGCAAGACACGGCGAAAACATCTATACTTGATGCCGGATGATGACAATTGATGACCGAGAATTAAAGAGTATATACAAATAGGTTGCAACCACAGATGAGAAGCAGTATTTGCTTGCCGGTGGTGTTAATCTGAATGAAGGGGCGAGGAAAGAGCGGCGAGCGACTAACAAACATGGATATGCGGGGCTAAAGATATTCATTTGGTATGATAGCCATAAACACCTTAACGTTGAGAATCTGGAGGTGGATATGTGTCCGTTCTTTGCGGAAATACTTTTCTCATCGCTGCAAAGATCGTTAAGATAGAATGGAGCTCCGCCTAATTAGTCTCGATCGTTTATTTCTCGGCTGTGCTGTTAAGTGAGAGGTGAAAGAAAAGAGAATGAAGGAGAGGGAAGGAAAGGGACACCCGGAAGATGAAATAGAAAAAGAGCCAAAGATAGATATAGGTATGGCTGTACCCAAGATATTCAAGATGTATTTCAAGTAATCACATACATATGCGGTGTGATCAAATTCTAATCTTGCAGAGGAGATTAATTATCACAAAATGCTTTGAAGACGACGCCTCTTCCGTTGACGGTTCCTCCATTCTTCCAATGTCCGTCGATGTAACCAAAATCTAGACATGCTTTGACTATGTTGTTTAAACAGAAAAAATAAGCAACTGAGCCTTCTTAGGAGTCAGGGGCGCCGGCCGGTCGATGTCAAAAACTTAAGATTGTGGATAAATTAAATTGAGTAGTATTGGTCGGGTTCTCTCAGGGTTCCTTCCGCACCCTACAGGGCTTACACACACAAATCTTCATCGGTGGGTCTATCAATTAGTTGCTATATTAGAAGGATTCGCTGTGCCTGCCATCTGTAGATTAATATGTAGCTGCAAGATTACTTCGTAAAATACAATTCGACTTCGGTCATTAGAGCATTGTACACTCGTATGCCTAGTGGACGTGAGCATACACACTAACTAGAGTACTCCATCTTCTATACTTCCGCATCCTTTAGCGCGGGCCAAGTTCCAACGCTTTTTGTCCGTGCAAACCTATCAACCTCCTCCACTGCAAACGTTTGTTTATGAAATTCAATAGAAAGCTTTAACCTAGAATCTCTCGACTCAAGCTATTGCCGTCCTGAGTGCGATATCAACCGTGTCACTGTAGTCCACAGGATCAAGACTCAAATGTTCGATACATATCCAAGCACCGAGGACTGTACTCCGCAACGTCGTATTCCTGTAATGTCATCGGGACCGAGGTCGACTTGTGTTAGGCCTAACCTACTCATAACACCTATCACAGGTTCAAAACGAGCTTACGGCGACTGGCATCTATATGCAGGCCATCGAGCCATGTATCACGAACAAGGGGGTTAACAGACGTAATCGTAATTAGCTTCCGCTATCTACGCTAAAGTCTATCTCAAACCACACACTCTCGTCCCTTCAACAATGGACCCCGCGCAAGGATCAGCGGGTAGCACGGGAATTGGTCAGAGCGACAAGGACAGATCCAACCACCATCCAGTTGTCGTTCTCCCCCGTTTAAGCCTGTCATATCACCTCATCCGCTCGATGGTGCAATCATTATAGCTAGCTTGCATACTCAGTTGATATTGCTTCACAGATTATGCAAATAAACTGACTGAGATTTTTTTGAGCCAAAGACACAATGTATGATTAGTGTTAGGTATCTCTATCAGGCATGTTGGATATCACCCCAATGGCCAAAATTATGTAAGCCAAGGAAATGGATAGTTGTCCTCCATTTGTATTGGTGTATTTACTTGATAAGCATTTCTTGAGTAGGATTGAAGTTTGCAAATGGCCAAGGGCTTATCCTGCAGATCCCACTTCCCCAGCACTCACCCCTGATTGTATTACCTTTCTTGAACTTCACTTTCTAGCATCTAGAAGACCAAAATAGCATTTGCACGATATCACAAAATTTAGGGTAGTATCGAGGTGGTATTGTTAAGAAATCCAGGATGGTCCTAATTCGAATGCGCGAAGGAACATTTTTGTGGATTTTCACCGAGATCTTCTTCTATTAGCTCCCAGAGTCCAGACATCAATATATGATATTATCCATCGCTTTCAAACCTTATCTTCTAAACAGATCGAAGCCCCCTTGGTGAACCTTCGGTCTAGTGGAGTATCTTTTGCGAGGAGGTACCATCTTCGCCTTTTACAATGGTCAAGCAATTGAACACCGCATGTTTGGTCATTATTGTTGTTTTTGAAGTTGTTGGCTCAATATTCTGCTTTGGCCGTCTAGGCTCAAGGTTAGTATCAAAACCACCATGGAAGGGACTGATGATGTGGAGTGAGTCTCCTGAAGTTTGGCCTACACTGCTTGGTTGCTAAATGTTTTTAGGTGATATATGTATGGGTATAGCTTGGGTAAGACATCATTGAGAATTAAGGTTGTCATCTGAAATTGAGGCTGAGACAAATATAGGTTCTATCGGTTGTGGAAAGTGTCGCTATATACGGACGTGAGTAGTTCTTTTCGCATGCTTATGGAGATTTCTAAAATGTCTGGGTTTCGCAAACTTTTTGCAGAACTATGGAATGGTTTATCAACTACGTCTAGATGATGAAGTTTGGTTTCAATCATGCTAACTTGACTAGTAACATCGTACGCAAAATATGGCTATAAATTATCAGATCTTGCCCAATTTAATATCGACATACCTACCGAGATGAAATGGTCAATGTTTGATTCCCTTTGCTATAATCCGATCTTCGGTTTCGTCAAAGCCTCCATGATTCTGCTGTTTCTTCGACTTGGGGGAATAAGACAAACAGTTCGATATGCTGCGTATGCACTCTTATGCATCAATTTCGCCCTTATGATCGCCATATTTTTTGTCGATATGTTTCAATGTGTACCGTTCTCATATAACTTCTACTCGACAAAGATGGACCTGGCGGCTCAAATTAAAGCAAATGCCACAGATCCGGGAATCGGACCTTATGGGCCTGTGGCATCTGGGTTCAAAGATGGGAAATATATATCGGGCGGGATATGTATCAATGGTGTCAATTTTATATTGTCAACTGCTGGTTTGACTATTTTGACAGACTTATTGATTCTGTGCATTCCAATTTATATGTTAAAGGATCTCAAAATGAATCCACGAAAAAAGACTGCAGCAATCACCATTTTGTGCATGGGCTTGGGGTATTGATCATTGTTCCCTTTTTGTATTTGTCGCGAGCTAATCCTTCTTTTCAAGTGTTACTGCTATCGGAATTTGTCGTCTTGTTTTTACTTACCGTACATTCTACCCCGATGTCCCTGACCCGGGATTAAATGTCAACAGCACCATATCTCAAATAGAGACTGGTCTTGCATTGGTTATAGGCTGCATCCCGGATCTTCTGCCTCTTTTTCGCCTACTAATACCTGGCTTCTTCAATTTTGCGACCAGACAATCAACTCATCCAGCTCGGTATCCTTACCCCTCAACTTTCGGTTCCAGAAGGAAGCCGGAAGGCCGAAGCGACATTCTCAACAACGCCATGTATGAAGAACATGGACTAGACGTTTTGAAGTTACGTCCTAACAATGGGTTGATACAACGCGAGACGCAAGTCAGAGGTGCTGCAAGTACCGATAGCTTGACTGGTAGCCAAATAGAGATGTTCGACAAAACTATGGACGACAAGATGGATTCAAAGACAATTATAAAGACAACACATTTCTCGATGAAAGAATCGGACCTAAGTGATCCAAGGAACACTTGGAGTAATGTCTGACTTGGTCGATAAGATCGCATTTGAACTTCTTTGTTTTGGCTTGTTGGCTATGGACTCGAGAGGGCATTTAGCCTGTATGTTTTAGAGCCTGCAAGAAAATCATCGTGTCAATTTTTTGCGGAATTTGTATGCCGCAAAGGTCATGACTCATGTCTTTTCTATACTTGGCCGCATTGCATGGTTATATGACAATATATATATATTTTATATGTTATAGAATCATGTAATTTTGAGGTCTTTGGATGCTGAAAGGGGCATGGGGTCATAAAGTTTACCCCTTTGTCTCTATACTCCCAGACTCGCAGGCTGTACATCAGCGTGTGCAGTGCACACCATAATATTAATAACCAGGAGCGATTACTTTGACCAGAACGACGAATAGGATGCTATAAACTTACTATAGACCATTGACCGGCGTCAAAGCGTATGTAGTTTCTTCCCATTTGGTTACATGCATGGAGAAACACTGTAACCACATCTATTCCATTCTTTTGCTGCCTCAAACTACCATGCGACTACAATCAGCCGTTTCTCTCCTTTCTATTTTTCCTTCCGATCCGAGAAAAATCCCACCAATGGGGGTAATGATCTGCGATATTACCCCAAAGTTGTGTTGTCAGCTGCGGGGAGCTGCACACAACTGCATTTGAGGCTGGCTTGGCATATATAAAAGAACCAACGACCAGATATTTACGAGACCGACAACTTGGAAAGTTCTTCTGGCGTGATAAAGTTCACATCTGCAGGAAGAACATTTTTGAATGCATTCCGTGATGGAGCAACAAGTTCCGTTTGCCAACACTTTTACCCCGCAGTCCGTCTTGGATAGACTCTGAATACCCCGGATAATCAAGGCAGAGTTGGATCGGAATACCCATGTAAAACTTATAAAATGAACTTAATCCAGCGTGTGGAGAAGTTGTCCTGGAAACTCATCTCTGGAAATTGATTAGCCTTTGCATATCCTCTTAATATTTAACTTTGAATTTCAAAATCAGAACCCTCCAAACAATTGCCACAGTCAAAGTGTGCATAGTGATATTTCTCAAGGGTTTAGAATCTAACTGACTTCCACCATGAAGTTGTTAGAATTTACTGCCGTGATATCTTCGTTGGTTGTCCTTGCTCAAGCTGGCAATAGCAATGGTAACGGTCATGAGAAAGTAAAAACCTGCACAATACCCTCAAAATACAAATCCTCAAATGGAACAGCCGACGACTCACCAGCAGTAGCTGCCGCTTTTTTCAAGTGCTCCTCGAACTCAATTATTGAGTTCAAGAAAGGTGTCGATTACAATATCTTCAGCCCAATCTCCGCAAAGAACTTGTCAAATGTGATCATTCGCCAAGAAGGCAATCTTCATCTTCCCCAAAACATCACCTATATCCAAAACCTTGTCACAACCTCCAATGCGCTCACATATACCACCGCTTTATACTGGTTTGCATTTGCCGGTCCCAAGATTCAGTATGAAGGATCGAAAGACATTACGACGGGGTGGATAAACTCGTATGGCCAAGCATGGTGGGACGCGAATCCCGTCAATGGAACTGGTCTTGCGAATCGACCACATCTTTTTCAATTAAACACGACAAACGGCGGTATGAATTATTTTAAATCACGCAAGCCAATAGCATGGAATGTTCAACTTCTGGGAAGTAATATCCGAGTCAAAAATAGCATCATTGATTCCTTCTCTACGGGTACCGGTTTCCCATTCAATACCGATGGATTTGGTGTCACAGCTACAAACGTTCACATTTCTGACTCAGTCATATACAATGGAGACGATGCATGTGCTGTTCAATCTGGTTCTCACAACGTTCTTTTTGAGAAAGCAACGATCGGATATCAATCTCATGGCTTGTCCATTGGCTCTCTCGGGCAAAACCAAGCTTCATTCGCCAATGTATCAAACATCCATTTCCGTGATATAACAGTTGTTGATGCCGTCTATGCTGCCCGATTCAAGAGTTGGATTGGAGGTCAAGGAATCGCAAAAAATATCACATGGGAAGATATCCGCGTGTACAATGTTTCATTCCCGATTTTTGTCACCCAAACATACTACAATCAAGGATCTAACGCAACTCAACTTGAACCTGGACAGATTTCAGGGCGCCCGAACAATGCGAGTGTCAACATGGAGGATTTCACGTGGAAAAACTTCCGAGGAACGATTAATACCTTTGAGCCTGGAGATGGTACTTGTGTCTCAGACCCATGCTGGTACGATGCTGGATTGCCAAATTTGCAGCAGACAGAAACTATTATCATCGAGTGCAATACCGAGAATTCTTGTAAGAACTTCAACTTGGAGAATATTGAGATCTATCCACAGGATTATAGGAACCCAACGGTGATCTGCATCAATGCCACAAGTACGCTGAATCCAGACCTGGGATTCAATTGTGCCAATGGAACGTTTGTTCCTTTGAGTTGAGGTGGGATTTAGAGATGGGAATATGATGAACCAAGATTACTAAGGGATCAACATTTTCCATGTACTAGTGCTTCAGAAAAGTGACTTCATTTTGTGAATGTGATCTTATCCCCCACAGTCACCTTTTCAAGTGTTCCAAATATGAGCCTCAAAAACGTGTTGAATTCTTTAAGTCCACATTTATTTTGGATGATGCCCACGGACCTGTCGACGGGGTGTAGATATGAAGCGTCATCATATATATACACGGTACACGAAGACATTCAAGTGATGTACAAGTTCCAACTCCGTTATTGGAGCAACCCTAATTCTCACGTTGGATCAACTAACCAATAATTATTAATGCTTGGATGATGAATCATGGAGGTAAATAAGGGAGAGCCTGGTGGAAGTAAATTTTCTTATGCTCAAATATCTCCTATAAGTATTCTAGATAGGGCTGAAGTCATGCATCGGTAGCACGCCGGTTCGATCGAATAAGCTTTGGAGATATATTCCCAGACTCTTGTCTTAGCATTTCGATGACTGCACAGAAAAGCATATCCAAAATCCAAAATCCAAAACCCAAACCCCAAATTTGGCGTCATCAAGGACAAAAAGTGGCGGGGCGCCAAGACGTTTCATAGAAAGCAGTTGACGAAAAAGGAACGAAATTAAAGTTGTTTTTCAAGGGGTGGTGGGCCTCTCTGCTCACTGCTTTTTTTTACCCCTTCATTTTCGAGAAAGAATATTTTGGGATCTCAGCGGTAAGAAACTACAATGAGAACATCAAGAACATCATTTTTTGGATGATATTGATATAAGAGAACATGAGAAGTACATTAATCATATGTGCCAAAGGAAATTATCCAAAAATTATCATTTTAAGGCAATTTCCCATATTTTTATCCTCTCGAGAAATTCCTTCCCACTTCTTCAAGACGCAAGCTCTTACCATCAAGCCAATCGGGAAGCCACAGTTACCAGTGCACCAAATAAATTACGTTTTTTCCAGATGAGGCTTGACTTCAGATGAATTTGGTAGAAAGGAAATGAAGGTTTAATATATATATATATATATATTGGGTTAATGCCGGCCCTCGTTTTACAAGGATTGGGACAATGGCGCTTCATGCTTATCCGTATGAAACGTTCTGCTCTTCGCATCAAGCGACTAAACAGCATAGCCTTCAACATTAAGATGAATAAACTCGCGACTTGAGCTAACATGTCAACAAGATACTGTTCATAGATATCAGATAGGTTTGTAAACGACTGATTTGAAGAATATACAGCATAACAACGTATGAATAATTCAATCGGCTGGATGATCGTTGTCGCAGTATCAAAATCAAATCACGTTATCGAATGAGAGAATGGACAGAATTTGAATAGCGCGTCTATTTTCTTATATCTATTCGTTGGAAAAATGTGGAGTAGAATCTGTGAATCGTATATCTCACACATCTTCTTACGGAAGATCACCAAATCAAGGTTGGCAAACGAAACGTTCATCTAAAGATCTTGTTTCTCTGAAACGGACAAGGGTATTATTTCGATTCCCCTGGACTGGCATCATACATTGAATCGATTCATGGTGCGTGCTTTTCAGTTCTATATATTGAGTTGGCTCTCATGATGGGAAGTTCTCCTTCTTCTATTCTTTCTCTCCAAGTTAGTCTTGTTAGCTTGTCGTCTTTATTTCACTCTCTTAACTTTCTCTAAATACATTCATTTCAAAGTGTGATCTGTGATCCACGACGTTCATTTTTAAATTTTTACATTCATTTCACCACGAACTTACACACAAAATCCTATCAAGATGTTCTCCAAATCAATCATCGCCGCTTCCCTCCTCACAGCAGTCACTGCTCATCAAAACTTCCATCAATTTTGGGTCAATGGAGTTTCTCCAGGGTATCAAGTCTCTATCCGCATGCCACCTTCCAACTCCCCAGTTCTCGATGTAGCATCCGATAACATCACCTGTAACGTCAATGGAAACGTTGTCCCATCAGGCGTGAACACAACCGCCGCAAATGAGGGAGATGCTATCACAGTTCAATGGGATTCCTCTACCCATCCAGGACCTATTCAACATTATCTTTTCGGCCCAGTTGATGATGCGTCCATGGCTACTGGTATCGGTTCATGGTTCAAGATTGATGAGTACGTTGAGGTCAACGGTACTTGGGCCTCCAACCTCATGAATGCTGGAAACATGAGCTACACTTTCAACCTTCCTACTGGAATGGCATCTGGTGAATACTTGGTAAGTTATACTCTACCCTCAACTTTTATACTTCTCCATAAACTAACAAATCATCACACAGCTTCGTTCAGAGATGCTTGCTCTTCACTCCGCCCAGACTGTCGGAGGTGCTCAATGGTACATTGGATGTGCTCAACTTTCGATCACCGGTACTAGTGGAGATTCATGCGGACCATCCATCGAGCTCCCAGGTGATTACAACGCTACCGACCCAAGTATCTATATCCCAGATATTTACTATGGCTTTGACATATCCACCTACACACCTCCCGGAGGAGCCATTGCCACATGTGGTGCTTCCGGAGCTGGAGCCACGGGTGCAGCCAGCGCCACAGCCGTTGCAACATCTGCTGTTTCCAGCGCGATCGCATCATCAAGCGCCGTAGCTCTTTCATCGAGTGCCGTAGCCGCATCGAGCTCCGTCGCCTCATCCGTAGAGTTCTCATCCAGTGCGATACTTCCATCAAGCTCCGTGGCCGCCATTGTAACTTCTGCCCCAAGCACTCTCGTAACAGCCACTTCTGCACCAGCAGCTACTAGCTCAGCGGTTGAGGTTGGCGATGATGAGTGTGACGCATAAATTTGACGAGGATATGTATCAAGTGGTGAAAATATGTTTGGATTCTTTTGTATATATCTCTAGATCTATTCGCTGTATGTGAATAGACTTGGCACTTGCCACTGTACAAATAGAGACTGATTGAGCTTTGAATGTTGATTGAGTGGTTGCTAATTGTGAAGTACTTTGCCTTGGTGTCAAACTTAGACGGATTGCAAAAAAAAATCCACCCCACTTGCGTCGGGTTCACTGGTCGGTGTTTGGATTGACGGGGAACTTCTCACCCTTTCAATTTTTATAACAAATTCATTCTTTAATTGTTTGGCATAGAATTTCGTGTTTTGATTGTTCCATCTCCAATGAGCAATCGCATCAATTCCTAAGATATGTAAATTAATATATCAAAAGATATTCTTAAGTCAAAATTTTGTAGAGTCCCCATCAGCCTAGCCTGCACACTCACTGGTGATTTACTCGACGATAATCGGGTTGGTGAATGAGATAAAGAAGCTCGAGGTCAAAAGAGCCATCAAGTCAATTGTTAAAACGTATGTATCACGAAAGTTCATCTTCGTTGAGTAATGAAATCAAAGTCGAATGTTACACGCTGGTTTCTGTGCATTATATCAATACTAACATAAGAAAGGCTTTGATTATTAGGAATCTGGGGCAAATCTAACGACGTCATTCGAATTCTCGGGCGTCAGTATAGACCATAAAATTCCTGCCATGCCTTAAAATGCAAGGATCAGCCCATTACTCTGAATGAATCCTTCTCGCAACCTGAACGAGCACCCTTTGCAAATTCATATCACTTCCCGCCGCCGACGTTCCTCTCCTATCCATTCCCCTTGCCACTTCTACCAAAGTCTTTCCCAAAAGTCCACCGATATCCTCGCCCAATCTTGCCATTACTTTGTTCCATTCCCTCTTATTCCGCTCGTAGGTGTCGACTATAATCTTGACATTCTGGTCGAGAGTATCTTGACACTCTTGTGCACCATTAGTGTTGCCAGCTCGAGTTTCCTTACGGAATGCACGCAGTACTTCGCTTGTCTGTTGGAGAACGGGTTGGACGGTGGCTTGGTGGTCTTTTTCGATTTGTGCGAGCTCGAGGTAGTATGGAGTTGCTTGTAAGATAAGCAAGATTTGCTGGTGAGTTTTATCTGACATTGTGATTGATCGTGTGCCGTAGCGTTAAGAGTTCAAAATCGCATGGGTGTATCTTTGGTTTGGTGTTGTTTATTGCTTTGGATGGTCTGGAGAGGTAAGAATAAGAAATCCGTGATAGGAAAGAACGACACAGAATGGTGTGAAGCTCCTTGCTTGATTGACTGATAGCTGGATATTTTATTGGCGGCTTATTTAATCAGCATCTCGAAAGATCTTCTGTGATTCTCGAATGTTGAAACTTCCGACGATAGCAATCCGTTTTATTTGCCTTGGTTTTCTAATCACGAATAAGTTTTTACCATGCCAAATGCTAGAGCAGTGAATGATTCAAGAATCATTCAAGGCATTCACTCGGGTTGCTCTCTCTACAGCACTGCAAAGTGAATATCTGTATCAGCCATTTCATATGTGAACGATACGGCTTCAATCTCCACTCGAGACAATATTTTCTGCAACGAATTTGTACGGTGACTGGTCAAGCCTGTTTAAGTTATAAGTTATGTCTTTCTTCCAGACATCCAATCCAACATCATCGTCCACATTGATCGCCTCAAAGGAGTTTAAAGCTAATCCGACCTCCGATAGTCTCAACACCTATATCATGAACCCACGTTTTGAAAGCAGGAGCTCTGCATCATGAATTCCAACAACGCTTCTGAGAAAAGCGCAGCTAGCCAAGTAGTTCAAATCCCTCTTGAGGATAATGCACATCATCATATACAACAAGATGACATAAATTGTAGGTCACCACATTGTCTATACCCCAGCAAATGAACAATTCAACCTCGCGTACTCAACACCAAGATAGGAATGAAAATGAACAAAGTCATAGCGTAGATGCCATCGATCAGATCGCACATACTCACAAAGGACACGAGTCGATTCGAGCACTAAAAATGCACTCGCAATTAAGTCCGCTCCGGAAACCTTTCAACGACTTCGAGATCTGCCACCAGAATGAAGGTTGGGGATATGGAAGCTTGCACGTCTGCAGCCCTGACTCGTGGTCATCCCATACTCGGAACACAAAGCAAGTCACTTTTCTATATCCTAATACAATTTTAATCAAAAATCTGAGTTCCAATGGGAAAATGCATGTATGTGATTGGTATATTTGCATCTGTTTGACCACTCTGTCTTGCACCCATTACTGTGCATCCCAAAAGCTTTATCAGGATGTGCCATTAAATAACCAGCCGATGTACTCATCGAACTTTCTTGAGTTCTCGAATTCCACACCGGTTTATACACACAAGTCAAAGTGTAAAACAGTGCAGTAAAAATGAAATACGACACAAGAAATGTAGCTAATTGGATGAAATTTACAATATTGCGACAAAACATATGCATAGGGGTATCACTCCTCTCCTGTCCCGCGTCCAAATAGACTTTTTTTTATCTCAAACATTTCCTGTCATCTGACATATACTAAGTGTATGTATGTCCTGCATGATCAGGTCAAAATAGAAGGAGATTAATGGGGAACCCGACGTGCATAATGGTCTGTATGAGTGGGCACCCTACAGCAACCCACTCCGCCCGCGCTCCGTTCACAGCAACTCCAGGACCAATCGCTAAGCCAATGGGATGCCCCGTAAATAGCCAACATTTCGTCAACGGATTTCCCTTTATAACATCTCTCACCATGCTGTTCGACGAGTCTTGGAAGGGCTCGTGAGCGCAATGTTTTTGATCCTAAAGTAGAATCATATCAGTATTGTGCAACAAGTCAAGAGTGTGAAACCGAATACTAACCAGGATGATATCGACATGGGCCATCGGCATCTTGGGATTTAATGTCTTTGAAACACTGCCCACACTTACCGCCCTCGAATTTGAGGGATTTTCTCTCCAATCCTAATTCCTCCAAAGTTGGATTCAGCCTCCGCTTTTTCGCCGATGATGATACATCAGCGACCGATCGGCTTTGAGTTCTCCCATTCAAAAGTTCCTCACCCACCTCTTCCAACACTTTCCGTTCCTCCCTTAGTTCTGCCAAAACTTTCCGAGCTAGTGGAGCCTCTTCTCCTTCTCCCGTCAAGACTCTCTCATGGGTCAAAGTCCTCTCTGCAACTTCCCTTAACCTTCTCTCAACTTCGAGCGCTTTCTACAAATCCTTTGTCTTCTTTTTTTCTTTTTCTAGTGCTTCTACGGCAGTATCCTTAACGGCATTCGTTGAGGATGCGCGCGTGTCCAGTTCCGTATATATCATTTCTGGATCGGCAAGTTGCTTCTTGAACCACTGAGATCTAAGCTCTTCATTTTTCAAAACTTTTTTGAGTTCCTCGGAGACTCCCATGAAGGGAGTCTGAGAAATTTTATTCGGCTGAGATATAGGTGTTCCACTGCTTGATTGAAACCGACTCGGATGGTTTAATAGCTCCTTTAGTCTTTTCGTTCCCTTCCTCCCATCAATCAACTGCTTTCGAAGTATCTCATTATAGCTTCTGTCCGTTTTTGACCCTTCGTCTGCACTATAAATTCGGGGCATGAATTCTGGCAGAGTATTCTGAGCGCTTATAGCCTTTTCCTGAATTTCCCTCATCTGCTTTTGTAGGGTCTCGACCTGATTCCATTCATTTTGATAATTATTTGTCAAAGTATTTATCTCCGCTTTCGCTGCCTCTAGTTCTTGCAGCAAAGCCGCAGTTCTTTTCTTTTCAATTATCAATGCTTCCTCCAGAGGAGTTTCCTTCTGCAAGGTATCCTCATCATCACTCACCAAGTCAATGACCAACCCCTTCCCTGGTATAATTCGTTCCTTTGTCGAGTTAATAGACATTCCTCTCCGGTCCATCGATTTCCCATTTGCTTTGTCATTATTCAAGAGTCCCTTAGTGCTCCATCCCTCCCCTTTCTCCTCTTCGACATATTTGTCACCAAGCAAAAATCTTAGAGTGGTCGTTCGCATATGCGGATACAAATTTCCGGTAGCTCTGAGCGATGCTTGAGGGATTCGGCATCTGCATCGTTGAGAGCAGACTCTAGACACTGGGATTGAGGAAGTGCTTGTAGCGTTGACTGAGAAGCTGGGGTCGAGATTGAGGAGCTTAGTCTAGAGGGTGTTCGAAGAAATGGAGAGGCATTTGATGGCGTAGCGGGGGTCAGTGGGTAATGGTCCACAGGAGACAGTTGTGGCTGAGATTGAGTGGAAACTTGAGGAGGGTGTTGGGTATTGTGTCTACCGATCTCAGGCGCAAATGGTGGTAACTGATGTTGCGTTTGGAATCCATTGGGATTTGAGTATGGACTGGGGTAAGTTGAAGCTTGCATAGTGGATGCACACTCTGGTACCGGTTGAGGAGGGTAATGTTGCTGCGAACCAAGATTATTTGAGAATATCGGACTTGGCGAAGGAAAGTTTGACTGCTGTGGAGAGGAATTGGAGAGATTTGGGTAACGCGGGTGGAATAACGTAGGACTGATCTGATCTTGATAAGATGCAGGTTGTCCTGCACGACTCAATTGCACGGTCTTTCTTGACATTTGTTCAAAGCAAAAGGTCCCAAGGCCACCAGTTTCTAGGTTGGTTCGACGGTTGTTTTACTGGAGAAGGTATGACAGAAGAACGGTTCGAGTAGGGGTTCAGGAAGACGCGTTCGCGGGGAATCGCGATTTTCTCGATAAGCTGCTGGTGAGGGTGGCGCGTACATGCTTATCGACACGTGACCTGCCCCCTTTTCACGTATTTACTGTTAAGATACCACATCTCACTATCAATTTCAAGAATCATGTGTTGGATAAACATATCACAGCAAACAAGTCTCAAGTGCCTGATAGATCTTCTCGTTGGAAGGATCTGATTGTGATTGACTTACGCGGAGGGTTGACCAGATTTGGAACATATCACATCGTGCTTACTCTAAGATGGGCTGATCTGGCGGCTACCAATGTCACAGTGAATTGAGAATGCGCCTCTCGCCATATCAAGCTTCCAAGTATCATATCGAATATTGCTGCTAGAAACCCGTTACGAGTGACTGTCACTAGGTGTCGTCAGTTCAAAAGGCTCAAAACTCTCATCAACACTCCTTATCTAGTTTTAATCAGTTCTCTGGTCTCAAAAATGGGGGCAGAAAACACGAATCCGAAGTTAAACGTTGCGATCATCGGCGGCGGTCTTGGTGGAGTTGCTCTCAGTATTGGACTTCTTCCTTATCGTGATGCCCTCAATATCACAATTTACGAAGCAGCTCCTAAGTTTGCAGAAATAGGGGCAGGAATTGCATCAGGTCCTAACGCAGTGAATGCCCTAAATTTGATTTCTCCTGATATCCTTAGAGGTTATAGGAAATGTGCAACGTTTAACGAAACTCGCGATCACGATAACGCATGGTTGACTTTTCGGTATGGGACGAATAGTAGAAATGGTGATGGCAAGAAAATGGACTTGATTCATCATGTTGGAGAGAAAGGAAAATCTCTGGGAGATATTTCGGAGATGCTGAAAAGAGAGGAGATTAGAAGGAGAAGTTGTGTGCACAGGGCTAGGTTCTTGGATGAAATGGCAGCGTTGATTCCAAACGGAATGGCTAAATTCAAGAAAAGTCTAGTGAGCGTTGAAGACCCGGAGGAAGACAACGAAGGATTGAAGTTGACATTTGAAGACGGTGAGACAGTTCTCGCTGATGTAGTGATTGGCTGTGATGGAATCAAGAGTGTCACGAGAGACTTCGTCATGAGAAACCAATCAATTGAACCGGTCTTTTCAAACACTTACGCATATCGAGCTATGATTCCCAGAGATATTGCCAGGGAAGCAATAGGAGATGCCTTAGCACTAAATGGCCAATCATTTCTCGGGTATGGTAGATATATGATTAGTTACCCAGTTGAGCATGGAAACTTGATCAACCTCGTTGCATTGAAGACAACGAAAGATGTCGAATGGGATGAGAAGAACTGGTTGATGCCTGCTACCAGAGAAGAGTTGGCGTCCGATTTAGAAGGCTATGAAGAAAAGTTGGCTGAATTGGTCTCGAAATATTGTACCGGAGATAAGTGGGGGCTCTTCCATCTTCCACATTCTCAGAAATATTTTCGCGGAAGAATTTGTCTTATGGGAGACGCTGCCCATGCAAGCACACCTCACTTAGGGGCTGGCTCCGGTATGGCATTTGAAGATGCTTATGTCTTGAGTCGTCTTTTTGAGGGTGTCAAAACTAAAGATGATATTCAAAAAGCACTCGAAGCTTATGATACGGTGAGGAGACCGAGGTCGCAAAAGTTAGTTGAATTTAGTAAGAAAGCCGGAGAACTGATCTCGTTTACGCATGATGATTTTAGAGATGATGTGAAAAGGATAGCTGACGAGATTGATTCGTTATATGAATGGGTTTGGACATATGATCTCGAAGGGAGTTTGGTAGAGGCGAAACAGCTTTCCAATTTGTTCTAGTCTCCTCTCCAATGATTGTGGATCATTGAGAGACTGCATCAGGCAACATATAGAGAGGTAACGAGGTGGCGTGCGTCTTTTTTGTATCGGGGGCTATTATTTGTTGAAGAGATCGTTCTCATGCAGGAGAATTCGAAGGATTGACGGCATGATTAGATGCGGTTAACAGAATCTGAGATGATATTGATACCTGGCCGTTCTTCAATGGCTAAAGAGCGAATTCAAATGAGATAAATGCTGTTTGTGGTGAATGCATGTTTGTACGCGAAGTGCATTTGCATGTATCCACAAAAATACCTAGAAGGCTAGTACAGCGACTACAATTCCGCGATCTACAGAGAATGGCGTGGCAGTCTGCCCTAAAGTCGTCCAACGGCCTCTCTATACGGAATCACGCCCGATACAAGGGATGTACTTGTAAGTCTTACTAATCATAGACGAATGAGCTTGCGGGCTCCATATGAACGTAAAAAGTGGACGACCCCAATCATTTTGAGGAGACCAATCATACTTCATATTGGAAAAATCTTGTATCTCAATGATATCAAGATATGTTCGAATAGAATTCTGTTATTAAGTATGAAATTGAAGATCAGATGCGATATAAGAATCACGTGCGAACGCTTGTGGTCATCAAACCTTGTTATTCTTAGAAAGGGGAAAGGGGGAAGCAGCTAATGCATGAGGTTATACCAACTTACTCTTGGTTGGACCACTAATCCTCATGAATGACGATGAATCCATACATCCCATCATTTCTTAATCACACTCCTAAAAGTCTCTACCCCCGCAACTTAATCTCACCGCTTAGATCAAATAGGTCTAATCTGATACCAGATGATCCAGATAATCCATAGAAAAAAACTCTATTTTACCACTATTCAGTATTCGGTCCCGGCTGACATTCCCAGTCTGGCTCTCGGGTCCTTCATCTAACCCCACCTAGGTATAGTTGAAGCGTAAATTCTCGGTTGTAGTTTTCACGAAGCGTACCTCTAATGACAAATTCCAATTATTGTAATGGCCAAAGTCTTTTAAATGAATGGCTTTGATGAACTCAACCAAAATCAACTTCCAACTTCGATCACCGTGACCTAAGATGAAGAGATCCTCGCCGTCGACAGGTACATCGTTTCCGAGTTATCAATGTCAAATATGTTTATCTATGTACTCCACAATCGGGCATCTACGACGTCATGAAGCTGTGCGTAAGTTAACCCCCACCACTGCTATCTTCCGCGACGCGGGTTATATTAACATTGCAACTCAAATAGACGCTGGACAGCGACTCTACGGGTGCCACTTTTGTGATCAACACTTTTTCAGATCGTGAGTTGCACAACTGAAAGAGCCAAAATCATTCCTGCTAAAAAGATCTTAGAGATGCTGCTAGAAGACATTCAAAATCATGCCCGATCAGGGGTGGGAGGCCAATGCCTCAGCCAAGGCCAAGAGGAAAGCAAAAACAATCATGTGACTCTTGTGCACGATCGAAACGAGCTTGTAATCAAGGACGCCCATGTGAAGGTTGTCAATTGAATAACATACCGTGCACTTATTATCGTTCGACGGGAAGCAAGGATGCCCCACAGCCTTTGCAAGCTATACAAGATCTAGGGTCTTCAATACAACCGGTGCATCATACCACACTAACACAATTTGATCAGGCCAGCAACAATGCGACAGCTTCTGGTATACCATCTCAAGATCCTAGGATGCAGTTTGATTTTCTTCTCCAATACACAAAGCCTGGAAGAGAGTCGCTTTTAGATTTTTTCGGCACGCCGACGAGCGGTATAGCGACTCCAACCGCTTCTACCGCGATGTCTTCATCCCTTATGCCAAATTCCTCACTACTTGCTTTTCCCGGTGAATTAGAAGACCTCATGCAGAGCAATGCACTGCCAATACTAGATGATTTTATCTGGGATGGTGAACTCAACAATCTTCCGATCAACTCGACACTACGAAGCTCGTCTCAATTGGGAGGCCGGCTCCAGGAACTTAAATCGCAACTTTCTGTCACCCATCAAAGATTATCCGAACTTGATGGAAACTTGCCGCCATTTTCCGAAGAAATAAAAACCGTTCTGTTCACTGTTCCTAACTTGATAGATTTTACTCGATTATTTTTTGATCATGGGTATCCTAATTGTCCAATTATACACCAACCTACTTATAACCTCGAGACAGTCTCGCTTCCATTGTTATTTGTAGTCTTCCTTATTGGTGCAGCGTATTCTTCACCTCGAGATACGGCTGGCTTAGCAAAGGAATGCGGTACTTTATGCGAGGAATTCGTTTTCGAGAATTCAGAACTGAGAGAAATACTTTGTTCGGAACAGTACACTGAGAAATCGACTAGTCTTCAAATCATTCAAGCAGCATTTCTTGTATCAGTACTGCGGAATTGGCAAAATGGGCAACTCGCAAGGAAGAGAATGCGTAACAGGCGATATTGTGATGTTGTCAATGGTGCGAGGGCACTGGGATATAACTCATCAAGAAACATGTACGCCACGGGTGTTTTCCCTTTTAATTGGCATGGTTATATTGAAGCAGAAGCAAAAGTTAGGTCAGCTCAGCTCATTTCTACCATTTTCTACTCAAAATGCTAAATATAAATTAGGGTTATGAGTTTGATATATCTTGTAGATTGTCATTATACTCTTTTCAATAAGTATCCACCCAGATTAACGATTGCCGAGATGGTCGGTGATATGCCATCCTCAGAAGAAGCATTTGCCGCTACAGATGCTCTCGTTTGCGAAGGGTATTTGTTAGGGACAAATGAGGAACCCCGAGTCGCTCTGGCAACCTCTTTGGAGTGGCTAATGGGAGATGAATGGAATCCAGTTCATCATTACGGTGTTACAACCCTCAATCTGTTCGCGTTCCTCAACGGTAAACAAACTATCCAAGACCACCTACCCATATGATTGCTAACTATATAAGCATTAAATACAACAATCTTCCATCTAAAAGCGACGTCTCTCTGGATCTATAACTCCGCTCGTATCGCTCAGGCTCTCGATAGATGGAAGATTCTTTGGGATAACCATTTAAAACAAGTCGGGCCAGATTTCACGAGATATGGATTCTTTAAGAACTCTCTGGAATTCTGGCAGCTTACTAAGTTACTACTTAAAACAGAGGGAAACAAGGGCCAACCAGGCCTATGTGGCAAGGCCGAGATAGCTAGCGATTTGATGACAGAAATCAATGCCTTGATGGACAAATTTCAAGGGGTCACCATCTCTTGATTTGATATTCACACGTTACGAGGCCCTGGCGAACATACCATATAGCGCTAGAAGTCTCTTCACGCTATAGTGAGATTTATAAGAATTCACACCGATAGCCTGCAGAGAGCTTTCCTCACAAGATTGCCTCGACTGAAGAGAAAAATATGAAACTACTAGAAAAGCTCAAGCCATAGGTTCTAATGCGCCCTTCCCACCAATATCGATTTTAGTCATCTCTCGAACCAGACTTTTAGTTCCTCTAGCTTCAGTGGCTTCGACCCAATTACCATGTACTTGGGCTTTTATATGAAATGGCAATTCAACAATAGCAATTGCCTGTTCGAAGTCTCTTGTATCAATCACAATCAAATCGCATCGATTGGCAATCCTTCTTTCCACCATTGCCATCACCCATCCATCCCCTTCCTTGGAATCTTTCGATCGGGGAATGAAAATCGGTTCTTGGACATGCGAGTCTTCCCCTGCATAAAAATATTTCGTTTCGCTTGTCTTATTGTTATGCATTGCAAGACCATTTAGTCCCTGGTATATATTACTCTTTCCATCACTCTGTTCTGGAATGAAAACATCCAAGAACACCCATTCATATTCCTTCGTCATGAATCTCTCGTCGATTCTCGGAAATTCACACGGAGTGTCCAAAACTACCAATGGATCCTGTATCTTAGTACCACTCGGTTGATTCAAATCAAATTCCCAACGTGCGAAATCACCTTTCGTATCCGGATTCGGCATTCGTCCATCATTGGGCGGAAAGAATGGAAAGGCATTATCATGCACTCTCGAACTTTCCATGTACAATTTCCCATCCTTTCCTTCCCAGGCTCCAGCTGTATGAACCGGCATACAATTGTTCCACTCGTAATATCTGCTTTCTCCTTCTTTCCAACCATCCGGTAACGGCGTCGATTTTCTCCTAGGAACCACAATGAACGTAGCAGGTTTTTCATAGTCCCATGCCCAATGCTGGCCCCCTTTCTTCATTCTCTCAATATCCGCTTCGAAACACCAACATACAAGTATTAACCAATTCTCCGTAATGGCGCAATCATGAATAAATGCACACCACGGACTCTTTACCCATAATTCTTCTACCTTCTTCCCTTGCGCATCAAGCGTATATGTAACTACATCCAACGTGGCCAATCCCTTTGCCTCATACCCAAACACAACAAGTTCATCCGTAAATGGATCCACCTTCGGATGGGCCGTAAAGGTCTTCGATTTCACTCCCTCAGAGGCAAAAGGATCATATCCTAAAGTCTCCAACGTATCGCCATCAACTTCATACGGCAACCCCACTTCCTTTAATGCCAGCAACTTGTCAGCCCACATGACTAAATTCGTATTTGCTGTACTATCTACCGCAGCTCGTACACACGGATGATGTGTATATGGATTTCGATATAATCCAAATAAAGCCTTGTTAGCCTGTCTTTCAAGTTTGTACCGTTCAGTCTCGATATACCGCATTTTCATATCGACGATACCGTTGTGGAAACGAAAGGCGGAGATATTGCCGTCCCCATCGACGGGTACATTCTGTGGGTGAGGTGGAACAAAAGGGTCGCACATCACACGGTAAAATGTCCCGTTTATTTCTGGGGGAATAGACCCCAGGACCACAAGGTTGGCTACTTCACCTTCGAGACGACAAGGGAGGTTGGAGCCTGCGAGGTCAATTGCCGTGGGCCATCTGGAGGTGAGATTCTGAGGATTTCGGCTGTCTCGAGTGGCGAGAGTGTGGGATGTTGTGGGCCGGGCAAGTTTTGACGGAGGAGGAACGCCGGGAGCATCAAGGGAGAGAATCGTTGTGGATGATGGTGGGTCGTTTAGTATCGCCATTGCTTATGAGGTAGTGTTTGTAATAATGAGGAAATTGGCTGTCAGATGATATGAACAATGTGATAGGTAACGTGGTAGAACGGAGTGTTTATATACCACAACCATAACGTACCAAGAGCATCAGCAGATATCATGACCCCAGACGGACTTTTCCCTCACTGCATGTAGTTTATCAATAAGTCATATCATCCATGTAGTCTTACATCTCCAGACCAAGCGAGTTATACACGCACCACTGACAGTGGTTGCACAGTCAGGCATACCCATATATTTTTTGAAAAAAGATAAAGTCCGTAACTGCCGTGAAACTTTCACCCCCACTAAAAGCTCCAGAATCGTTCTTGGCCATCTCTCCCAAGCTAGCTTCAAGAGCTAACAGTAGCTGCCGAAGGGATTATATGTGGGTAAATGGCTTTTTGGGTGGCGGTCGTCATGCTGCTAGACTTCAAAGGGCTCGAGACTGCACCGGGAACATCCCTCCTTACCCCGTATATGTGGAGGGATATTTTCTACCCACATCTTCTGTCCAGTAGTGCGACTGATGCATACCTATATAGCGTGTTACTATTGAGTCTATCGATGAATTTATATTGAGAGTATTTCATTCATCCGGTATGTGATTGGTCAATGCTTTGAAAGAGGAGCAATATTTTGGCGAATCCTTGTATTGGATTTGGTAATGGTCGGTATCGCAGCGTTCCGGTAAGCATTGAGGTTTAAAGAAGAATGATTTGCAGCACGCAAGTGGATTCTCTTGATTTGACACGACACGTGGAGAGCTAGGACTAGCTATGATAGACGTTACGAATGTTCTTGGAAATGTCCCTAAGTTTGAGCCCTGGGAGTTGAGGACCGGGAATTTCCCACCTGCGCGTGGGGTTTACCATTCGGACTTCTGGTACCTGCGAACATTTTGCTTGGAACGATCAGATGCATAGAGTTTGTGCATCATACATACGTAAGTCATCATGCTGAGTAGTTCGGTAGTTCGATTTGCTTAGGATCCTTTCTTCGTGATTGGGAGATTGATCACATCTGATATAGAGTCGTGGCGTCAGCAGTACGAAAATGCGGAAAATTCGGGATATCAAAATTATGTTCTCTTCAATAATGGAAGTCAAATCCGGCAATCAATAGTTCGAATTACCACTGACTAAACATGTCTATGGGGGTTTAATTCCATCATACACTTGACGTCTTCTACATTTGAAGACAAATATACAACATTATGAAGTGTTGAAATATAAGTATTTTCAATCACAGTTTTATTGACCCGCTGGACATTAATACCTCGGATCACATTACTCGAAGTGCGAGTTTCAGAACTATGCAACGGTCAATCTGTCAAGCTCCATTCGAAGATTCTACGATATGCTTTCCATGCGGATGCCTCTGTCGTGAACGAAGGTACAAGCTTCTTTCCTGATCCTTGCTCTTTTAAAGATATTCTGTGCGCAGAATAATCATAGGTGACGATCTTGCTCGGTATCTATAGTCGACATGAGGAAGGAACGACATTCACCAAGAATCTCATTGAAGTAGGGGATCGGAAGTGACAAAATGGTATTCCAAAACGATAAAGTGATTAAGAATTATTTGTCTTCCTTTTAGTCCAGCTTTCTACTTCAAGTGTTCCAAAGACGTTGCAATCATGCGAGGAGCTGCAAGATGCATCAATAGATATCTCTATCTGACCATTCTTCTTATCTTCCCAATTTGCTTCTATATCTTCTTTGTCGGTTCTTACAATTCCCCAGTCCATATCATCCTGGGGAAACTTCCAAAGCTTCGTTCTTCCAAAGTAACTGAAGATGTTTTCAATTTCCTTCGCCTCGATTCCGCATCACTCCGAGCTCTATGCGAGAAGACGGAATGGAATCCAGACAAAGTTGTATTCACATGCGATAATTCCATCGGCGGAGTTGGGGACATACGCAACTCGATACTGAACTGTGTAAGGTATGCAATATCCGCGGGTGCCGGTCTAGTGATCCCTCGAATCAGTCTTCGAAACCCGGATGATATATCGCAGATTCGAACGGGCGAAAGAGTTAGTATGGCCTATATGTTTGACTATTTTCATTTTGTCGAATCGCTCAGGTATTCTTGTCCGCAAACGGACATTTATCCATACATAGATGACGTTCCAAATTCGAATGAGGGAAGAGGTCCTATCACACTATTGCCAGAAAGTTTATTCTCTTCTCCAATTCCAAAAACGGGCATAGAGCATCCAGACAAGTGGAGAGAATTGTTTGAGGGATGGTTGGATGGATACTATTATTTCGCGACGAATCAGACAATGAATATGCCGATAACGATTGAGCTTGGGAGATCATATCTGCAATATCCGATATATTCTGACGGGGAGGAATTCGCACTTTCTTTTGGTGGGATATTGAAGTTCAGCAAAAATTTGAGGACTCTTGCTACTACCGTTTTGCAGAATATGTTATCCACATACAATATGTCTGGAGATCTTTCGCAGCCGTACCTCCCTGATACATTTTTCGGTGCACATCTCAGAACAGAAATTGATGCTACAAAATCTTGGCCGGCTGAGGACTGGTTTTATCAACGTTATGAATTCCAATCGATACAATACCTGAAGGAATTAGCCTCTACAAACCTCACCCTAGTTTATGTAGCATCCGGCAACGAAACCGAAACCGCCCAGTTCTCGCGAGACGCAGCTGCATACAATGTCACCACGAAATGGATGTTACTCGATGCCAAAGATAGGGAATCATTGAGCAAGTTATCATGGGATCAACAAGCGATAGTCGACTTTCTCGTTTTGACGAAAAGCTCGAACTTTGTCGGATTAGGCCATTCGAGTTTTGCGTGGAATATTGCGTTGCAGAGACATCAATTCTTGGAGAATGAGAAAGACTACTTTGATGGACCGAAGTTGTTAAGAGATAAGCTTAGTACCGTGTTTGGGAAGCCGGGTGCGCATCCTGAATACGCAGCTTGTTTGTGGCCTTAATTTTGCGAGTGTTGATTAAAAGTTGTGAAAAGAAATGTGATACTGCTTGGCGTTAAGTTTGGTATGAATGGATAATTATTCATTTTTATCTTCTTGACTCGGAATAAACATACATGTAGCGTTAGAACTCAATAAGGTAATAGGGGTGCGGTCTATAGACTTAAAGCGGGGAGGGGTTTAGGTAAAAATAGAGACAAGCCGTTTGATCATATGAATTACACAGGCACAAGGTATAAAATGCATGCATGGCAAAATTGTAATATTATGAGCTGGGACATACGAAGCTATTGAGATGCCTATGTAGATACATCGAGTGTAACGGTCGCTAATGGCCTATTTTCTCCCTCCTATCCATTACTTCCGTCTATGAAACTTCATATCCCGCATTACTCCTTCACTGCTTTCTCAAAGCACCAAGATAAAAAAGGTAACGAGTGTTAATTGCGCATGGCGCACATATGAATGAAATCTTATGTTCTTAACGTGTATCAATATGCAAGATACGAGTCATCTAATGGCCTCTAGAAGAGTTGATAACGGCGCTCTGAGGCTGAGCGAGGCCTCTTCGATCCTCGTCTATTTGTCTCCAGATATTACTAGACCAACTCACCTAGTTCCTGAACTTCTCAAATCCGACACCATTGTTGACCTCAACCTTGTCGTGGATAGTTGGCCACTGGTTTTGAACTCCCTTGGTACTTTCACTCATGATTTGTTCCGGTGCTCTTCTTTGCCAGTCTCGCTGGGCTTTCTGTTCCTCGGTGGTGATTTGCCTGTTGACGCTGTAATAAGTTTTGACGGTGACCCAGTAGCTTTTGCCGTCTTGCTCAACAGATTGCTTGTCCCACCATTGGGCTGGATTTCCAGTGGGAAATGTTTCTTTTGTCATAGTGGCCATGTTTTTTTGATCTTTTCGAGCTAAGTATTTAGATTGTTAGGATCTCAAGATTGCTATTATGATATGTGCGAGAGGTTGATGCTGCTTACCTTTGATGGGGATGGAGACGGTGTGTAATACGTTGTGATATGTGTAATGATGATTTTATCTGTGTAGATGTGGATGAAGAAGTTGATAGAAGCAGGATATTTGCGAGAAATTTTGTGTTCGGAGTGGGAGAAATGTGTTTTTGTTGGTTGAAGGTATGTTTTGAGTTTCGTGATCGAGATGTTCTTGATTGATGAAGAGAAAAGAAAAAGAGAAAACCAAAGAAGAAAAGTCGATCTATTTGAGTACAATTGACAAGACTTTTAAGGTATCAATCTTGAGAATGAATCACCATTTAATAGTCATTTCGATGCTGAATATATGAGTTATGTTATATTATGAATCCTTCGAAACGCATGGTTTAGGATAATAATGACTTGAGCACTCGAGGTTGTAAAAAATTGGGATAAGAACCGGTTTTCGATAGCACAAAGTTTGTGAGTCAGATGATTTGATTTAATGAATCGATTGAATAAAAGCTGAATGGCCAGAAAAGTATTGGGAGCTTCGCATGTGAATCACAATAAAACATAAATAATGCAGACATAGAGCAAAATCGTAATATTAGAAGCTATAAAAGGTAAAGCTACCATGACGAATGCCCAAAAACCAAAGATGTGTAAATACAATGAGTGTAACGGTCGCAAATCGCCTAATTCGAATACCCCTTTTTGTTTCCTCTGTGTAGAACTCCGATTGCGCCAGAACTGCCTGAGTCCTTCGCAAACACACAAGTCTATTTTTGTGTTTTGTCCTGCAGAGACCCAAGGATATGTAAAAGAATGTGAATGACGCACAGCGTCGATGTTAAGGAAACGTTCTATTGTACAAGTGAGAAATCCTTCAAGGGACAGATTTCTAAAATGCCGCTGGAATGGCCAATGTCATTATCATTGGAATTCGCGGTTTCATCGGCGCACAGAGGCATCTTTAGCTTCTTTAGCCTTAACGTTTTCTTTGTGGGCTCGATACACAGGGTCGTAGGGCTTTGTGACTTTCTTTCCCTTTCCTCCAGCACTGGAACTGCCGCCTGCGTGTCCTCTTCGTGCATTGTCCTTGTCTTTAGCAATCTGCGCAGGGAACTTACCATCAAAAATGTCGTTGTATCTGGTCTGAGGAACAAAGCGGACGTCGCTGTCTATCTGACTAAAATCATCTCTCGGATCCATTGGATTTCCATTGCTGTCATACTGCGGATTTGACATAATGTATGTTCGAGGGAGAAAGTTGTCTTGAAGTTGGTTTTATGTTTTGACGATGAGGGGTAACACGACGTATTCTGAGTTTGTGTAGTAAGTTGGTGGAAATGTGGATCGAAGTATGTAGATGTTGGTATGTGTAAGTGTAGAGTAGATAGATATGGATTGATGAAGGTATTAGTATCTGAAGGTAGATAGATGGAGAGGTACTTTGTATTTGAAATGTGTAAAGTTTGATTCTTTGGTGAAGGTAGGTTTTGTGATCGAGATGTTGTTGTTTGACGAAGAGAGAAGAAATAGAAAAGGTTGAAGCAAAGGGGAAAACCCGACCTACTTGAGAAAAATTGGTGAGGCTCTCAAGGCATCAATTTTCAGGATGAATCACCGTTTGTTAGTCATTCAAGCTCAAAGATATCAAAGACTGCTATGCATTCTATGAATATTACAACTTGAGGAGAAAATAGAGTCATTTGAGGGATTTGTCACTTAAAACTCACTCCTCATGATTCAGAATACTGATGGTTTTGTTTCGGACTCATACAAATATCTACCAATGACCAATGAGACTTCTCATAAATCACAATGGTGAGTAAATTCCAAGATGACAGTCATTCAGAAGGTAAAATATGTTGAATAAAATAGAACATTCATCGAATGGTATGATTTGAACAGGCAATGTAGACATTTGGTGACTGATATATTGAAATGCTGATTCGAAAAGTGATGAGGGGTAGGTGTTGGAGTCATATAAGACTTTTATAGCCATGTAACAGATCTCTTAGCTATCGATTTCTAGATAGTAGTCATTCCGGAAATCAGATTCATAATTATGACTTCGTACTAAATGAATACTGCGATGTGGGCAGGGAACAGCGTCAACGACGGGAATTCAGTTATCGGCATTTCAAGTAAATGACTCGAAACCCAATAAGTGCCAAAATGCGGACTTGTACCTATTAATCATTTTCTGATCATGAATTATATACAATTCACGGAGAAAGTAGCAGTCATCACTTAATTTCAACCGGTTCAGAACAATGCATTTTCAAAGCTTGGTCGACATCATCACAGGGGAGAATATAACAAGCAACTTCACTTGAAAATTGATTGGGCATGAGAAAATAGTTGAATTGCACTCATTATTCGGTGATGGCTTGAGGGGTGCATCTTCAAAATCAATTGCAGAAAGAAATTTTAATGCTTTCCAAACTCATCGGTAGGAATAAATGAAAGCGAAGACTTCACAACTCACTCTTCCTATATAGAAAAATGATGGGAAGTCTCTTGATAACATGCGGATACGATAAGAATGAGAACTTATACCGCAAAGAATATAGTCTAGAGTGCATCTCATCGAATGTAATATAAGTCTGCTATATATAGCGCTTGAAGATTAAACATCTGGATCTGTAATGCACTATACTCTACGTTGCTTGTGTTAACTATTGCAATGGGAACAAGACCACACAAACTTTTAGCATCAGGAAGCTAAGCATCGCACAGATTGTGAAGGCTTCCATGCAAAGAATAACCCTCGAAGATTTAATAGAATCACCGAGAAAGCAGGGGATTTTGTCTTCTCAGCAGCCATGTCAAACACACGTAAAGTAAAGGATTTGAGTGTTTCAATCATGGTTTGACGGACTGATCAATATGGAATTCCATAAAGATCAGGCAAAATCGCCAGATGCTTCAACAGTAACAGACATTCCGGACTTTAAGATATGGCAACTAGAGGAGATGCATACTATTTTGACGATCAATGTGACCAAGTCTTGGATTGTCTGTATCCTTCGTGGAGAGCACAATAATGTAATGGACGTGATTCAAACACACCTTGATGTGACCCCGAATCGCTGGAGAAAGGAAAGGAATAGAAGTTTGACTGTGCCATTGAAGGGTCGACAGCGGAAGCACAAAAAAAGTACACGTGAATCGCATGGAGGGTTCTTTGATAGACAGAACCCTCGAAGAGAGAGTAGAAACGATACTAGAAAAGGCTCAACGAGTAAGTCGGGAAGACGCGGTAAACCTTGGAAAGGATTGAGGATTACCAGCACTACTGGTGTTGATATCGTATGTTCCGAGGTAAGCTTAAAGACTACAAAATGTCGGAGAGCAGACTGCTGAAGTGATACAAGATAATACGTTCAATGTAGGTATTCGTGATTACATGAAGTTGGCTGGCTGGGGAACGACGGTGATATTGGTGAAGAATCTAGTATGTAAGTGCAGGTGGCTGATAATTAATAGTCTGAAGTGCTTCTGTGGCTTGAATTGAGGTGCTGTGGCGGACGGCGTTGATAGTGTTCCGTACCCCGAGCGGGTATGCCGAGGGACCGATATCGATATCGATGGCGAGTAGAAAGATTAAGATTAAGATATTTAATTGGACAATAATGAATTATATTTCTTTTTTCCAAGCATGCAGATATCTGGGCCATTTTTACGAAAGACATTTTTATTGCTATCCCGTGTTTGTGTGGATTTTTCCGTATATTGTCCGTCCTCTACTCTCCTTCCATCTTCGTCAATTTCCATGATTGGGGCTTTCAACATCGCTATGCGAATTTTCGATAGTGATCCTGTTTCGTAGTCAGTTTCGGGTTTTCATCTATCGACACGGCCTGGTCTATCTAACTGGTCTACCTGGTCTCCTCTGGCTGTCTATCTGTCTAATGCCTCTTCTGCTCTTCTACTCTCCTTGTTTCAGTCTACTTCTCTGTATATAACGGTTTTGTAATCCTTCCTGTGTTTAACGTTCTAGACAAGAATTCAACTACTCGTACATCTATCGAAAACCCTTTTATTGATATCTAATATCTAATCGTCATCGTGTCTACCTTTTAGCCGTAATATTTGCTTGCATCTTATTCAACACAGCCTTCTTTCACTCTTGCTTGGCCTCTTGGACCCCTTGGCCTTGACACGACGATTGATCACACTGTACGAGAGCGCCTACATTCTTTTGTCAGTGATGATATAAAGTCAAATTCCCCGACCATTGCCCTTAATATAATACAGTTCGAGTTCGATATATTTTCCTTCGACGGTCATCGTACACACACCGGCATGCGCTCGAGTGTATCTATCTAATTCCTCAACGAAAAGGCCCTAGTCGCCATCATGGGATTACTCCGCCAAGTCAGAACTTTGACTGGCAAGAATCTCCTCATTACGGTCAACCGACATGCCTTCAGCACATTCATACGCGCATTCATCCTCCCAGTGGCCTTGATTGTATTTCTTAGTTATGCCAGGAATTTATTCATACCACCTTCAACTTACGGGATTGGCTCTAGCCAGCCCATTCGATCATTAGGAGAAGGGCTCCGAGCCGCGACGGGTGGACGAAATACTTTGGCATTTGTCAACAATGGTTTAATCGGAGGAGACGTCGATGCTGTTATTGCTGATTTAACTTCGCAGGCTGAAGTTGCTGGGGCAAAAGTGAAACATTTGACAACTGAGGCTGAACTACTGGATATCTGCAAAAGTAGTCTAAGGGGGGCAACATCTTGTTATGGTGCCATTGTTTTCAATTCTTCGCCCTCGGAAGGAACAGGAGGAATATGGAACTATACAATGCGAGCAGATGGCGCGTTCGGCACGCAGATTGATGTTAAAACAGATAAAAACGATGCCGAACTTTTCCTTTTGCCACTGCAGCGTGCTGTTGATTATGCAATTGCTTCGAGAAATACAACAATCGACCAAAATGCGTTGCCCACTACCGTTAACGAATACCCGTATACTAGCCAGACTCAGAAGCAACGCGAAACTGCAATCCGGACAAATTACCAAAGTGCTATCATCAATATCCTTGGTGTTGCTTTCTTGATTGGTATGGTTGGTGTTACATATCATTTGACTGGATTCATTGCCTCTGAGAGGGAGCTTGGAATGTCACAACTTCTAGAAGCTATGATGCCGAATCTACGAAGATGGGAACCTCAAGTAGCTAGGATACTTTCGTATCATCTAGCCTTTGATATCATTTACATACCAGGATGGATCATCATGGGTGTCGTTTTAGGAGTAGGGGTCTTTGCCCAGACCTCCATGGCCATTGTGATAATATTTCATGTTCTAGCCGGCCTATCCTTAACATCATTCTCCATCCTTGGTGCCGCTTTTTTCAAGAAAGCCCAGCTCAGCGGAATCACTCTCGCAATTGTCACACTCTTACTTGGTGTCGTTACTCAAGTCATAGACAAGTCAAACTCGGGGACTGTGGCAATCTTGAGTTTACTTTTCGCTCCATGTAATTATGTATTCTTCCTCGTTTTCATGGCTCGATTTGAAAGGCAAAATATTGGCGCCAACCTTGTACAAGCCGCACCAAACAATCCATGGTCACTGCCTGGAATTGCTCTATGGGTGTTCTTAATCATTCAAATATTTGTTTATCCAATCCTCGGAGCTCTAGTCGAACGTTGCCTTTTCAGAACAACTTCCAAGGGTCGCTCAGTTGTTGGTCAAGGCTCTGAGAAGCATGCGCAATCACTTGGGTCTAACACATTGGAAACCGTTCGATTGGAGAATTTCACAAAACATTACCGACCCAATTGGTTTCGAATGAAGACAGCTGGATTTACCAAGATCCCCACAGCTACTGTCGTCGCTGTCAATGATTTGAGTTTGACCGCAAGTAAAGGTCAAATTCTTGTCCTTCTAGGTGCTAACGGATCTGGGAAGAGTACCACCTTGGATGCAATCGCAGGATTGAATACCGTTACTAGTGGAAGTATTACGGTTGATGGAACAGGAGGATTGGGTATTGCTCCACAGAAGAATGTGCTATGGAATGAACTTACAGTAGAGGAGCACATTCATATCTTCAATAGCCTCAAATCCACAGGACCCCGGGACAGCAAAGCAGCTCTCAAAGAGTTGATCAAAGCAATAGACTTGGACCGAAAGATTGGCGCAAAATCGAAAACTCTATCTGGTGGTCAAAAGCGGAAACTTCAATTAGGAATGATGTTCACTGGTGGAAGTTCGGTATGTTGTGTGGACGAAGTAAGCAGTGGGTTGGATCCTTTGAGTAGAAGAAAGATCTGGGATATTCTTCTGGCCGAAAGAGGTTCACGAACTATTATTTTGACGACACATTTCCTTGATGAGGCAGATCTTCTCGCCGACCGGATCGCAATATTGTCAAAAGGCACACTTCGAGCAGAAGGTTCTTCTGTTGAATTGAAGGAGAAATTAGGTGGCGGCTATCGCATCAATCTTCCTACCGCTCACGAACACAAAGAGCCTCCTCAGGTTGAGGGGATAAAGCAGCACGTTTCATTTGGCCAAACGACTTATGTAGCACCCACTTCAAAGCAAGCCGCTCAGATTATCAGACGCCTCGAAGAAGACGGCATCACAGAATATCAATTGTCCGGACCCACGATCGAAGATGTATTTTTACAATTAGCCGACGAAATTCGTGCCGAAAGTGACGAGAGTCTACTCATCCAAAACTTATCATCTGACAATGAGCAATCCGGAAAAGACAAGGATACTGTCACAAAACTTGCAATGGTCGATACCCACGAGCGTCAAGCGTTGGAACTACATACCGGTCAAAATATTGGTTTTTTCCGGCAAGCCTGGGTTCTGTTTAGAAAAAGACTGACTGTTCTTCGACGAAACTATTTGCCTTACATTGCAGCTCTCCTTGTCCCAATCATTGCGGCTGGTCTCGTAACTCTTTTCCTTAAAGGGTATAACGGTGCCGGCTGTACTCCAACCGACAGAGTTTCTATTTCTGATTCAGAAAATCTCTTCAGCGTTGAGAACTATGATGTTGTTATCGGACCGTCCTCAAGGTTTTCGACGGAAATACTTACGTCTTTATTTGAACCTTTATTGTTTGGATTGTTGCCTACGCCAGATCAAATCCAAAGTCATACTCATCGAGTCGACACATTAACTCAGTTCAATAGCTACATTGATCAAAATTTCGCGAATGTCACTCCATCAGGATTTTTCCTTGATAACGGTGGTTCACAAACCACACTCGCGTATAAAGGCAACGGTCAGATATTCAATGCTGTATGGGGTCAAAATGTCATGGACATTATGCTCACTAACATATCTATTGCCACACAATATTCTGAGTTTGATATTCCATGGGCACCATCGACCGGTAAATCATTACAACTTGTCGTCTATTTCGGTCTTGCAATGTCTGCTTACCCAGGATTCTTCTCATTGTACCCTACCGTCGAAAGAACCAGGAATATTCGAAGTCTTCAGTATTCCAATGGTGTTCGGTCATTACCATTATGGCTTTCGTACGTTGCTTTCGATCTCATGCTCGTTCTCATCTCGAGTGCTTTGAGTGTCATAATCTTTGCAGCTGCTTCTTCAGTTTGGTATCATGTCGGCTATTTATTTATCATATTCGTTCTGTTCGGTCTAGCATCGATCTTGTTATCGTACGTGGTGTCACTTTTTGCCAGTACGCAACTTTCAGCATTTGCATTCGCAGCTGCTGGGCAAGCGGTCATGTTCCTAATCTATCTAGTTGGTTACTTGTGTACTTTGACCTATGCTCCAATCAACAAGATAGATTCAACGCTTCTCGTTGTCCATTTCGTTATCAGTGTTTTTACACCAATGGGGAGTCTTATCCGAGCAATGTTCATCGCATTGAATCTGTTTTCTACTACTTGCTCTGGCGAAAAATTAGCACCGAACCCTGGAGGAATCCTGCAATATGGTGGACCGATTTTATATTTGATCCTCCAGATCATTGCACTCTTTGCAACTCTGATCTGGTATGACAGTGGCTCTGTATTGGCTTGGTTCCGAAGGCATCGCAAGTCACCTAACGTAGTGACTGACAATGAAATTCCTGCGGATGAAGAAATTGCTGATGAACTCGTCCGAGTCAATTCATCAAATGATGGTCTTCGAGTTCTTCATTTGACCAAGAGTTTTGGATCTCTTACTGCAGTCGAGAACATAACCTTCGGAATAAAGCATGGTGAAGTATTCGCACTTCTCGGACCAAACGGGGCAGGAAAGTCTACCACTATATCATTGATCCGTGGTGATATCCAACCAAGCAAAAATGGAGGAAATGTTTTTGTGGAGAACATTGAAATTAACAGACATCGTGCTAATGCAAGAGCTCATTTGGGAGTTTGTCCTCAATTCGATGCAATGGATCAAATGACCGTTTTAGAGCATCTCGCCTTCTATGCACGCGTAAGAGGCGTTCCAGACGTCGAACATAATGTTCAAGCTGTCTTACACGCTGTTGGTCTGCAAGCATTTGCTTCTCGTATGGCAGCTAAACTTTCCGGTGGAAACAAACGAAAGTTATCACTCGGAATCGCTTTAATTGGTAACCCAACAGTGCTAATCCTTGACGAACCATCCTCTGGCATGGATGCTGCTGCAAAGAGAGTGATGTGGAAAACGCTTGCTTCAGTCGTTCCAGGCCGTTCACTCTTACTCACAACTCATAGTATGGAAGAAGCTGATGCATTGGCTGACCGTGCAGGTATCATGGCTAAAAGGATGTTGGCAATGGGTACTTCAGATCGGTTGAGAAGTAAATTTGGTGGTTCTTATTATGTTCATTTGGTTCTTAAAAGTGCACCACACACCACCGATGATGAGATTTCGATTTTGAAAGCTTGGATCAATGATAACTTCCGAAATGCAGTCATTGAAGACAAAACTTTTCATGGTCAAATGCGATTCTCAGTACCGGTGTCTAGCTATTCTTCAAAGCAATCTGACATGAAAATGGACGGCGAATCGGCGGAAGACGAGATCTATAGTACTGGAAGTAGTATCGACGAATCAAAGTTGAGAGACTCAGGAATAGGATCATTGATTATGAAATTAGAAGATCAGAGGGAAGCACTTGGATTAGAGTATTATTCAGTTAGTCCGACGACATTGGATCAGGTTTTCTTAACGATTGTTGAGAAACATAATGTGGAGGAGGAGAATTATGCTGCGCCTAAGGAGAAGAAGACTCTGGGCGGATTAATAAGGAGGAAGAAGAAGGAGTGATGGGGGACGAGAGAGGGGGTCCAACGATAAGATTATGGCGGCTCCCTTTTAGTGAGAGAAGACGGGGAATGGGCTAGACGATACATACAGCATATGACACCATAATATACGGAATATGATTGTATTGAATAGAGTTCACCAGTTTTGTATATAGAGATATTGATTAATGATTAACTATTCAAACTATTTGGCACGTCTTAAGCTCAGATTAATCAGATGGTATTTTGTTCCAGTGTAAGCAGGATATCTATCGATTTTAATCACATCTATCTATCATCAATTAGGATGCACACGCAAAACGTAGAGCGTGTTATCAAAGATATCTCACAACTCTTCATAAATCTAGCTTCATCAATTCCCGAAACCGCTAACAGCACAGCACACGATAATCCGCTCTGCGTTTGAAAAACAAGTAGTAATCTTACCATACATTTCCTTCTCTAAATTCCCCAATCTTCATCTTCAAACAACACCCTTAGCCCACTTCCGAACATCCACGCCGGCGAAATTTGTCTTCGCTTTCCCGATCGCTTCGCTGCCTCCGATTCGGAAACTTTCGGGGGGCCCGAGGTAGCTTTGGCGGATGCCGCCGAGGTCGATTATTACTGTTGGGGGAGGAGGTTGGTATGTTATGTTGTGTGATGTTGTTGGGGGACGGAAATGGGGGGAAGAGGGGAAGGAGGAAAGGGAAGGGAAGGGAAGGGAAAGAAACGAGGAAAAAAGAAAAAAGACCCACCCTTCTGAAAAACAACACCCGGTTCAATCGCCCAAATCTTCAGCGTATGCGCCCCTGCAACCTTCAAAGCCGTATGCCTTGTCGTCGTCGTATTCCCGCTACTTTGTCCCCAGACATTATCGACGACGGCGCCGGCCCATCCGACTGGGAAGATGGCGGTCGAGACGCTCGAGGGCACGAATTGGATGATCTGGGGGTTTTCGTCGTCGAGAGCGATGGCGTATTTGAGGGTTCGTTCTCGGCCGTTTTGATTGAGGGAGGGCGAGATGAAGAGGGTGATGTTGGCGAGGGGGACGGGGGTGAAGGTGTAGAGGTTGTAGAGGAGGACGGGGCCGTGCGTGGTGTTTTGCGTGGGGGCTAGGACGGGGGAGAGCGTGACGCCGCAGGAGGTACGACCGAGTCCGGGGAGGGTGATGTAGGAGGTGCCGTTGATGGAGGTGGAGGAGGAGGTGTGGTGTGCTTCGATGGCGATGTGGCGGTCGGATTCGACGAAGCCGGTGGTGAAGTTTGAGGGAACGAGAGTGTTGTTTACGGGGAGGAGGACGGAAGGGGGAGCGTAGTTTCCCCACTGTCCGGATTCGCAGGAGGAGGTTATGAGGAGCGTTGCGATGGTGCTGTTGGGGGCTGGGGGTGCGGAGGCCCAGTCGACGGAGACGTAGACGCGGGTGTCGGTGCCGTTTGAGCCGCCGGTTGTACCGGAAGTTGGGGAGAGGTGAACATATGGTTGAGAGGTGTTGATGGTCCAGCTGCAACCGAGGAGTCCGCGAGCAAAAATATCGATGTAGCGAGTTTGTGGTCCGTATGGATCCATGGGAGGTAGAGTCAATACTTCCGAGGAAAGCGTGTGATAATTGTCGTCTCCGGATACTGTGGCATTTGATCCTTCAACTCCGACGCCGATGTTTCCCGCGAGAGAAGTTTCGAGAGCTTGGACATAAGACATTGGAGGGAGAGCATTGCGCATTGGTTGTTGCCAGTAATCGTATCCGAGATGGGTTTCTGTGTAATTGTAAGTATGCTATCATAATAACACGGGGATATAAGGATGTATACTCACGATCAAGAAAGTGATTCCACTTTCCATCTAGCAAATTATGATATCTCTGCGTCAAATTATTGTCCATCTTAAAAGCCTCCAATACCTCCTGGAAGACTTCGTTGGCAGCATTCCTCTTCTGCTGCGTGTAATGCACATTTTTACCCGCACCAATATGTATCTGATTGACAACCTGTCCTCCCAGAACTGGCTGTAAAATCATCTCATAATAAGCTGGTTTCCAATCATCTCCCAATTTATCATAAAAAGCTTGAGCTTCTTGGGCCAATTCATCCCATTGTGCGAGAATGGCGTCAGCTTCGTTGTAATTGATAACCGAATAAACTGTCATATCGATGTTTTCGTACTTTCGTCTCGCAGCCAGCATACCATATGTGTCCACGATGCTTGAAATGTTGGAAGCGTACTCAGGGCCAAATTCTCGAGTTGCCCATAAGTTGAGCCACGTGGGGACGGAATCGTAACCCCATTGAGGTGTGTTGTAGGCAAGGTCCATGAAGTGGTTTATGGGGATCTCGAGGGGTTTCAAATCACCCACATTGAGCATCCAGATGCGGTTTGCTTGACGAGCGGATGCAAGTTGCATCTGTTGGTATATTCAGTTAGGCTTCTAGGACCATGAAAGAGAGAATTGGGACATTACTTACCTGTTCAACAGTCTTTTCAAGTTGAATAGTATTAATCCACTTATAGTCTCGAGGAGACCCAACATAATCCACATGATAGTAGACACCTATTTATAAAATGTCAGTAAGTTGATCTCTATCCCAAAAGCAAAACCAAGAATATACTAACCAGAACCGCCACTTCTACTCGTCTCGTTAACCAATGGTAACCGTCTTACATTCCCAAAATTATCGTCCGCCCATAACAAAGTAATATCATCTGGAACCGTCATCCCCGCCTCATAATATCCCTGAACCTCACTATACAAACACCACATTTGCGGAATCTCAGTGACATTCCTGCCCTCATATACTTCCCCAAATATCTCCCTCTGTTTCGTTACTATATCCCCTAGTACCGAGATAGCCTGCGCTTGAGTCAAAGACAAAGCAGTATCACCGGATCCACGCATGGCCATCGTGAAAAGAGTATTGGCAACATAGGGAGCAGCACGCTCAGCGCCGTATTTGAAGAAAGGCGCGACCGATGCATTGTTGGTGTCGTATTCCCACTGTCCATTTCCGCCATATTCTTTGCCGAAAGTAGACCATTCTTTGGTGGCACGCGACATTGGTTCTGTGTGACTTGTACCCATCACAATTCCATAAGCATCCGCCAATGGTTGATTAGCGTAGTCGTCTACATTGAACATACTATCCCATTGAGCGGGCCAGAAGTAATTCGCTCTTAATCTTAATAGGAGTTCAAAAACTTGGGAATGGAAGTAATGATTAAATCCAGCACCATATTTTCCTTTTGGATAATTCGCACTGTAATTGTTAGCAGTCATGTCTTTCTAGTGTTAATATCAAAACTTACTTGACCCAATTCGTCAATGCAGGCTGTTCATCATTCAAAAAGAATCCCCTGTATCTCACACTCGGCGTATCCTGTATCTTCAAGATTTGCATTCCTCCACTTGGAGGTCCAGGTGGCGGACCCATCTGTCCCGATCCTCCTTGTCGTCCTTGTCCTGGTCTACGCTGCTGTGTCGCGTTTGGATCTAAAGCCCAAACACCATCTTGGGTTCTTACTGGGACATCCGCCCACCACCACCACGGACTCACACCTGCTTGTTCACTAATATCATACATTCCATATATGGTCCCTCTGAGATCGCTTCCCACGATCACCATTGCTTCCTGGATACCAGGGAGAGGATTTTGAATTATGACGGACATGAAGGCTTCCCATTTTCCTTTGATGGGATTCGGGTCTAGAAGACCGGATGAGATAAGTTGGGTGATCAGTGGTGACTGTGTGAGAGTCCCTACAATAAGGACAGTTGATGAAGGATTAGATGGATGTAGAGTAGGACCAGTGAAGTTTTGTTCTGGACCAACGGTATACTATTTTGGTGTAAGAATCATTATCTGTAAACTGATTGAGCGTGGCATGATATAATGCTTGTCTATCTCCATGTCTAGAGATTCATTGACAGAGAAAATAAAACTTACATTAACATCATTAGTAGGTGCTTTATAAGTATAAAGCACCTCGATTGCACCGCTGCCGTTACTACCAACCGTTGCGTTATGTCCCAAATCACCACCTGGGTTGGCGATATCACCAACCACTCCGCCTTCTCCATTACCATTATTCCCTTCAGGTGGTGGGTGATCATTTCCGTTTCCACCACCACCAAAACCAGAACTTCCTGCAGAAAGATTTGGTCCAGCATTTCCATTCCAATAAGCCAACGTCAAATTCTCTCCAACGACCTTCCCTAAATCACCAGCCAGATCCTCCGCCACCCTCAACACACCCCACCATTCCTCTTTACTCACTAATATCTGTGCATTGAGCCCTTTACCTGCTATCTGCAAGTGAGAAGATGTGCCATTTGTCGGTTTTGTCGTTGTGATTGTTGGATCTTGGCCTAATGCAGCAATTAACGGCAAAAGAAATGTCAAAGAAGTGAGGAAAAGAGGCAGTCTACGTAGACTGGAAGACGTCATTTTGAATGCCAATGATTGAATTGTTGGTCACCGCATGGAGTTCTCCAAGAAAGGCATGCAAGCAAATACAAGAGATCAAGCAAAAAAGAATTGTGTAAAATTAGAGCATTGAAATCAGGAATCAAGCGGTACTTAAATACTGTAGCAACATTCTCCATAAGAAAATCCGGGGCCCCATATAGCAGCTATATCGCCCAAACTTGACTTTCTGCAACTTACGGTAAGAGGCGGATCAGAGGATAAAATCTTTGCATATGCAGATGTTGGATAGAGAAGCTCCTGCTGATCGGACCAATCATCCAAGGTCAAGCACGGGATAAATGCAAATCCCTTGTATGCATACTTGTTGTGCCTGGCAGCGTAGTGTCTTCTTGTAGTCAAGCCAAGCCAAGTACAAAACTTATCCGTGGAATATAGTGGTGTAGGTCCTTTCAAAAAGAGTCGTGTAGAGATCGGCATAAAGATTTTGCGGGGTTGAACATGTCACTTTTCTATTTAGCCTAAATTGAGTAATAGGACAAATCACGTATGGTTGCAACAGTGGGAGAAATTGCGGATAAAAGCTTGTATGTAACTTAAAAAGGCAACTATTGTAGAAGATTGAATAGTCTAGATTATAGACTTCTCAGATATAACAATACATGAGCCCTCCAGCTCGAGATGACCCTCGCCAACTATAGCGGAGTTACGACGGCTAATATCCCATTTATTTGCAAAAAAAAAAGTATAATTAATCACGAAATATACGTAGCGGCAATGAATACGAAAAAGTTTGTTCAGAATTATGGAAAGTGTGTGATGTAGAGATCGCCAACCTTGAAGTACTTACAAGCAAGCCTCCTCTTTCATTCCCCTTTTGAACTTCACCAAGAGTATCTCGTCCGTAATTCTCCTTTTTCTAAAGTGTAATGCTAAACCTCCTTCATCAATGAAACTTACCAAAATCATGTATGAACGCTTCCTAAACCCCAAATGTAGATACTAAAATCAGAAGGCGAATTTTTAGAGGACGAATCAAGTCAAACATATTCCCGAAAGACTTAGCTGTTTTCAGCACGAATCCTCCCCGTAATTTTGTTGAGCACAACCATGCTGTATCGAGATGTCCGAGGTACCAAGATGTTTATCGAAGTTTTCAAATGCGTGCTTTGAAAGTAATCCGAGACGAGTTCTGTGATATAATCTCGAGAAATCATTCCAATAATCAATTGTTGACAGTAACAGCAGCAACAGATTCCTCAAGGGATGTTTCAATCTTTCCATCTGGGACAAATGCGTACCTGGGCATCTTGGCCATTTTCTCCTCCGGACTCACTTCATTATCTGAGTATATCATTTTCATCGGCTTGTCTTTCTTGGACTTCTTCTCGGCGACCTCGGTCTTTGCTTCTGGTTGAGCGACACTTTCAGGAGCAGCAACGGCTTCTGGAGTTTCGGTTTTTGATAGATCGACAGAGTTCCTATTCGGAGGCTTAATACCTGCCTCTGCCATTCTGATTATTTTGTCAATGTCATCATCGGCATCTCTAGCCGCACCTGAAACAAGGTCATCAACAGTAGATGCGTTAGTCGAATGCTCCCCAAGACCTGGAGGATGAGGATAAGCTGATGACGTAGCTGAATTTTGGTCTTGTCCATTCCATCCATTACCATTCCAACCGCCCTTTTGATGCATTTGTTGCATCTGGTATGGCGGAATTGGCGGTGCACCAAATGATGGTCTTTGGGGAAGACCAGGCGCTGGTGGTAGACTTGGGGGTCGATTAGGAAGGCCACCGTGTATAGGTGGAGTGTGAGATGGTGGTGGTTGATATCCGTTAAACGATCCTGGAGGGGGGGAACCAGCGCCATATGGTGGTGGTTGATAAGCATTAGGTGGATATTGCGGAGGGGAGTATTGAGGTTGATATGCTGGACCGGGAGGTCCGGAGAAAGGCGGCTGTTGGTTATATGGCTGTTGGTAAGCTGCCGCAGGTTGACTGTATGGTTCTTGAGAAAATGATCCATAGCCCGCACCTTGTGTAGCAACATAAGAATTTTGGGGAGTGGGGAAAGGAGAGTTGTTCTGTTCATGAAAGTCAGGATTGATATTCGTTGGGAAGGATTTTAGACAACTTACGAATGCACCGGGACTTTGTGTGGCTGCCAAAGGACTTGCGGCACTAGAAATTCCGGCATCTAATGGTGTAGTTCCACCACTACCACCATTTGCTGCTTGTTCAGCTTTCCGCGCTTTGTGCTCTGCTAACCTTTTCTTTAAATCTGCTGGTGATTCCACTTTTGGTTTTTTTGATTGACCACCACCAGCATTGGCAGTTCCTGGAGCAGGGTTTCCTGTGGCAGCACGACGATCCTGCTCCGCTTGATAGAAACCTGCAATTATGCGCTGATTATGTGCTTGAACCACATCCTCAGGAATACCTTCCATACCAAAGATTTCGACCTCGAGACCCTGCCTGTTTGGAAGAGAGTTGTCGACACTTGCCAAAGTTTCTTTATGCACTTGATTCATATGAACGGAGAGTCCTGCAGATTGCCGGTTAGCTTGAATGAAATGGTATATGTTCAGACCAGAGATGACATACCTCCAGCAGTGTTCAATCGTCGACCACATCGTTCGCATTTGAAATGCTTGGCTTTTTGATGAGAAATGAGAATTTTCAAATCATCGAAATCGCGTTCACCTGTGGTGGGAAAATTGTTAGCGTCGCGATTGTGCGATGATGGGAATGGTGGCGATACTTACAATAATAACACCAAGGGCGAGCCAGTAACTCCTCGATATCGGGATGACCGCGCTTCTTTTTTCCTACCATTGTGTTGATTGAATTAGAGAGGTAATGAAATGAGAAGTATCTTTGCAAAGGAAATTAAGGATAAAACGCAAGGCTTATAGTATTAAGTAGATAGGTAGACAAGAAGCTGCAAAAAGATGAAGTGAAGCTGGCGGCTGGCTGGCTTGATAGATTTCGTGTTTCGGCAAATGGACTTTCCCAATCCGAGATTAGAGCCATGGTCACGTGAAGTGAAAGCGCTTGGACCTTTTCGTGCGGAAAAATAAATTTTACTTTTTTCTCTCCAACCATCTGAACTTCAACACACAGATATTTCATCTCAATGACAACGAGAAACCTCAATGTATCGAGCATCCACAAGTCCAACTCTGATACCTACTCGATGTCATGCTACGAAGGAGAATATCCTTTGACTATAGGCCAGGGTAAGTCAATGCGTAAAATCGAGGTGCAGTGAGTTGGAGAGCGTTGCTTCATCCGGCTCCAAATGCCATAAACAACAGCAGTACCTTGATCAATCACTCAGCCTTCATTGGCACTCATAGATGAGACTCTTCTTTGAAGAGCCTTTCAATATCTTCGCGTCTTGTGTCGAGATTGAATGGAGGTTGAAATAAGGTATGATCTTTCGGGATTATACCTTCACAAGAGGATATATTGCAAGACTAATCAAAGGACCTTCATAGTCCATACTCCTACTCTTCACGAGAGCCCTACAGGAGTGTGGCTCCTTGCGTACCTACATCTTACTACCAAATAATATTAATGTTTGTCATTGCCTACTAGAATGATCATGGACGACGTGGCTTCCCGAGTGTGTAGTGACTGCCCTCTTTCCTCCTTGCTACTGTGCCGATGTTATTTTGGGACACGAGTAGTCGCAGATTTCTTTCATGTGGATTATCAAGATCGTTCAAGAGGTTCCTAACTCTATGGAATGTGAGAACACAATCCTTCAAAGATCAAAGAGAGAGAGACTACAGTGCTTGTTTTTCGTATCACCCTTGAGCTTGTGAAATGGGTGTTTCCAGCATGGCTTACGCAACATGTATTCTGTTGAGCCCCTGGAACCTTTACCGAGAAGTCCTCTTCTAAAATGGTCTTTAATCAACAAAGATTTGGGAATAGCTTCAAATACCTAGTAATCAAACCTTCTGACTGTTATCCTATACGGAATAGATAGATGCAAAACATGTTCAATCCTTCGTAACCGTGCACAGCGATTGGATCACATTGAGCCCTGCCAAGACATAAGGTAAATCATTGGAAGAAGCGGCGGGGTGTATCTAATTCATTAAAGCTTATGCTCTATTAGGTAAAGTCAGCAGCGGGAATGCGAAGTGGTTAAAGCTAATGCGATAAGAACTCTCATCTATTTTGATCTCCGTAAGGACTGAGGGGAATTGTTGATAGTAGAGGTTCAACACAGGAGTGAGTTATATTGACTTCGCTAGACCTTCAAGGTAACTTGACAGAATGACGAGAATAGTAGGGGTGATAATATAAAACTAATCGGTGTAAATGATGTATTGTCTTAATAGCTCACACACCATATCATCTCCAATCATCAAAGCACAATCGAAAAACAATATCCGGGTTCTGGAACAAATAGCTACGAGGTGAATCCGAGAGCTAATCAGGAAATCCAAAAATATCAACCACGACTACATTATATTGGTCGTACGTCTAATAATCTCCATTCTTTTTGATAAGTGTAAATCATTTGCACCATACTAATCATCTATATTATCTAACAAATCCATATGAAAATCAAGCTTTCCAATGCTTCGGTACATTTTCCCTTATCCACAACTTCAAATGTTCCAACTTGTGCCAAGTAACGTCATCCCGTTGATTAGAACTTTCGTCTACAATGCAACTTCGGAAAATACATCATCATAATATGGGAATTGGACATATTGAGGTCACAGACTTACCTCAATCCTACATATAATACATATAGTCCAGTGAATTTAATGAATCTTACCATATCCTCCGTTCTTCAATCACCATCTTATCCTTGATATTAATTACATGGCTCAAGCCTTCAAACGAAATCTGAATCCTCTCAAATACAACAATCTTACATCAACCCCACATACCAACTACCTCCGAATCACCCCATTGACTTCGAAACAGCAAGCAATTATGTCTTCCGATAACCCTTCCCTTCAGAGAAACATCTCGTCTGTTCACAAGCGCACCAAGCCAAATGAAAAACATCCCAAATTCGGACATCTACCTCTCAGTACCAGTGGTCCTCTAGAATGTGCTTTAACAGGCACTGCACTTCTAAACACACCTTACCTCAACAAAGGTGCAGGCTTCCCAGCAGATGAACGTAGAAAGTTTAAGTTGACAGGATTATTGCCGTCAAATGTCTCGACTTTGGATCAACAAGTTAAGAGGGCTTATGATCAATATAGTTCGAGATCAGATGATTTGGCGAAGAATACTTTCATGACTTCGTTGGCTGATCAGAATGAGGTTCTATATTACAGAGTAAGTTCTTCATCTTTGCTTCAATAACTTCCGTCTCGCACCTGCCTGCTCTCTTCGGCGGATGTATGTCTCGAGGGATTTGGACGATCACGTGTGAAAGTCATGATCATGATGACCTCTTCTGACTTCAACCCAGTTGATCCAAGATCATATGAAGGAAATGTTCTCCATTATCTATACACCAACAGAAGGCGAGGCGATTGAGAACTATTCTAGAATATTTAGAAGACCTGATGGTTGTTTCCTGAATATTGATGATACAGATCGAATTCATGACGATTTAGCGCAATGGGGTGGACCAGAAGATATTGACTACATTGTTGTCACTGGTATGTCAAATGCAGCCATGCTTTTCATGGCAAAACTAACACACTATAGACGGAGAAGAAATTCTCGGAATCGGAGACCAAGGAGTCGGTGGTGTCTTGATCTCAGTTGCAAAACTAGTTCTCACCACACTCTGTGCTGGAATCCATCCAAATCGTACACTCCCAGTTGTCTTAGATTGCGGAACCGATAACGAGAAACTTCTCAACGATGATCTATACCTTGGTTTGAAGAAATCCAGAGTGAGGGGCAAGGAATACGACGATTTTGTCGACAAATTTGTTCAAAATGCCCGAAAACTTTATCCTAATGCATATATTCATTTCGAGGATTTCGGTCTTCCAAATGGTGAGAATGATGCCCTTCACTGAAGCATACTATACTAACGAATTTACAGCCCGAAGAATCCTCGACCGATATCGTCCCGAGATGGCTTGCTTCAATGATGATGTCCAAGGAACTGGATGTGTCACCTTGGCAGCAATGATGGCCGGTCTTCACGTGAGCAAAATCAAGATCGAAGACACACGAATTGTGATCTTCGGTTCCGGAACAGCTGGAACCGGAATTGCAGATCAAATTCGCGATGCCATTGCAGCAGATAGTGGAAAGTCCAAGGAAGAAGCCGCCAAGCAAATCTATTGTGTGGATAAGCCCGGTCTCCTTCTGAAGTCCCACGGTGACAAACTCACGCATGCACAAATTCCCTATGCACGTGAAGATTCAGATTGGAAAGATAAAAACCACAGTGATCTTCTCCAGGTCATCAAAGAAGTCAAACCGCACGTCTTAATCGGTACCTCCACAAAACCCAAATCCTTCACCAAAGAAATCATCCAAGAAATGGCCTCTCACGTCGACCGACCTATCGTTTTCCCCCTCAGCAACCCTACCCGTCTTCACGAAGCCGATCCAAAAGACATCAACGAATGGACCAAAGGCAAAGCTTTGATCGCCACCGGCTCACCTTTCCCACCCGTCAAATACGAAGGCCATGAATACGAAGTTGCAGAATGTAACAACTCGACCTGTTTCCCCGGCATCGGTCTCGGATGCGTTCTCTCCCGCACAAAATTATTGAGTGATAAGATGCTAGTCTCAGCCGTCAAAGCACTAGCAGCTCAGAGTCCGGCATTGAAGAATCCAGACAAGGGATTATTACCCGATGTTGCCGATGTACGCGAAATCAGCGTTCGTATTGCTAAAGCGGTGATCAAAACGTCGGTAGAGGAAGGTCTGGCACAGGAGAAGGGCATTCCAACTGAAGATGAAGATTTAGAAGAGTGGATTAGAGAACAAATGTGGGATCCAGTATACAGACCATTCAAGCTGGTGGAGAAGGAGACTGCAAGCAGAAATGCAAGTGGTAAGAGTGGAACTGCGGATTAGAGATCGTGCGAGTTACTTTTTTCTGTGCTAATCTTTGCTCTTTTTGAATTATGAACTCGATTTGAGATGATAGATTAGATATTACTTTTTGATAATTAATTTCTTTTGCCATGGATGGTGGCTCGTTATGTACCCACGGGTGAGATGATCATTACCTTGGTGCAGAAGTCTGAGGGGTAAGGTAGTCTTTACAAGCCTTGCGTGGAATTTCGAAGTCCTTTGGCGCATGGAGGCTAGACTGCAATAGTTCAGTGAACACGATGCATGAGGATGAGTATTTCAAGTGTAGATTACATGGTTTGATTTAGATTTCAGAAGTTACAAATCCATTTACTAAATCACCCTATCTATATCAGAATATGTGAGCATTGTGCAGAAACCTGAAGTTCTTGAGCGCGTTAAGGCTAAACCGCAAAGATGCAGTAAACAAAATGCGTATGGTAAATACTTCAAGTGCAGATTACATGGTTTGATTTGGATTTTAGATGTTACAATTCCAGTTACTGGGTATTTATGATAAACAGAACATGCGGCTGAAAATGTCATCAAAGTAGAAACCACATCATGAAAATAAGCAACGCAAACCCCCCGAACCAAACAGTCTCAAGGAGAGCCATATCGCCTTGCGCAGTGAAATGATCTAGAATCACTGTCCCGCGGTAGCCTAGGAAGTCCAAGAGAGTACAAAAGAGGACCTGGATCTATGTCAGAATAATCAAACACAGAGACATTGAAGAGACATCGGAACATACCAAAAAGAAGATTCTTTTGACAGAGAGGTTGAATAAGTCAAAAATGCCTTTGACAGAGAGGCTGAACAAGTCAAAAAGCATTACTACGAAGTTTTGGCACTAAAAAACAAGGATTTCAGAAAAACCATTTTGAATAGAGTGGTTTTTGCAGATTGAAATCTCATGTTAGCCTCACCAAATCAAGCTGCAGGATAGCATGAAAAGATGCGGAAGCATACGTACGCTGTGAACCTTCGACTTGAAAACATTTTTCTCGGCCGCAGCCTCTTCATTTATCATAGCAACATATGCAGTGACGACATCGACGGTCAATTCATTGGGAGTCCTATGATTCTATTAGTGATACAGTAGCAAGTCTGATGTTGATGCAGTCAAACTTACACGGTAGTCGCTGCGAAGTCGTCGAACTCAGAGTCAAGCCGACGATTGCCTCGGGGAGGCCTCAAGTTTCGAGGAGACTAAAGTAAGAAATGAACGTCAGCCGAAGTGTCATGGCTGAGTAAGATCACCATCCTGTCAATCAACTGTACGTGGCCAAGTCATCATTTCAATAGAACACGGAGAGTTGAGGTGCACCGGTGCCCCGTAAAAGCGCACCGTAAAGATGTGAAGCTACCACTCGAGATTCACAGCTCGAGTGTCGGGCCGGATCGCTATATGACGTTTCCGCCAAGCGAATATCACTAGTTCTCATAATCTGATAGTTATCCCCAATCATGCGTAACTGACTACAGTCTACGTTGGCCAAGGAAGTCCCCCCCAAACGAGAGTACGCTGGTTTAGACCCAACCACAATGGGTATCTAGAGGACGAACATGCCTGGCTACACCACCAACCAAGTCCCCAATTCCTGAGATTCGAGGTAGAAGGGAGAGATGGACAAGAAAGAGCTAGGAAGGAAGCAGCTGTGACCGCCTCCAGTTTTAGACGCTCCATGACCCGAGATCATGGATTGATGGGGATGGCATATGGGGGAATGATTGACAGGTAGTGGGGGAAGATGATCTTACCTGTTGAGATTCGTCGTCAGACATTTTAATGGTTGTGCGATGGGTGTCTGTAATGGTGATAAACGATTAGCAGGTGAGCTTTTCTGAAGAAGGTGGAGTATCATGAGAGAGTAATGGTCTTGAACAAGGTAAAGCATTATGGAATGATTGAAAGAAAAGAGCAACTGACCAAGGATGTAATGTAATGTGTGTGAGCGGAACTTCCCAATTGATTGGGAGGTTGGTTTGTTGAGTAAGGAAGAAGAAGAAAGATTGAAAAATCGGGGAGACCAGTCTCTTAAGTAGACAATTCATTCCTGCTCGAATGGACAAACATAGTAGACTAGTAAGTTCTTTCCCGTTCTATTGAAAAATACAGATTCACTTATTCTTGGTTTCTAGCCAGTGATAGAAAAGAAATCGTTAATTCTGCCTTGATTTGAGCCCTCTAAGTCGCCGATGATATTCACTCCAATGGCGCAATCATCCAGCGACTTCCTGAGAGTGAAAAAAATTTCACGCACAATTCTTTCAAAGTTTTCAAAATTGTCTCATTGGCTTGAAACTTGTTAAAAATTGAATCTATCATCGTCGTCGTCGTTATCTCATTTCTCAACCTCCCGCGAGCGGGGTTTCCCATATATTCACTTCGATGGCGCAACCTCTTTGTTACATTCAAGACCCTCAAGGTAAAAATCTCTGCACGCAAAATAGAATCACTTGATTGGCTTGAATAATGTCGGCGTTGACTGATCGTTATCTTGTTACCATCACCTCTGCTTGAAGCATCATGAGGTACTCGCTCATACGGTGTGGGTTTTCACAGCTATATTTCATACCTTATAATATGCCATACGAAAAAGTCCTTGTATGCACACATCAAATGATTGAGGCTGATTATATGATCGGCTGCTAATCTTTGTAGAGTGAGCGAAGCTGTCGGTGCATCGCCGCTTCACCTTCTCGTCGCTTATGTGCAAGTCTTTTCCTTTCAAAAAATTCACTTGTATATTAGACACTCAAAAGCTGTGCGTGAAAACTCTGCAAGCACTGCCCACACCTTGATGGCTAAAGGTATCGAAGTATCCAGGTATGGCGATTACCGTAGAAGATATTGATCTAGTCATCACTGTTTATATTCAATGTAAGAAGCTTGGATAAGAACCCAGCAGATAAATTATAAGATACTCGCAAATTCAAAGCTACCTAATATTTGGGCAAGTAATGGGAACGCTTTTGTAGTGAAATAGAACCATGTGCAGGCATCTCAATGCCAGTGTTGTGAAAGCAAATATCCTATTCCCCGAAAATCTCACGAGCTAGCTGAGGTTCATTTGGTCCATCTTGTGCCTGCCAACAACTTCTTTCCATGTTTTGAATCTCAGACTGTACGTGTTGAAATGTTCTAGCTCCCCGTACCACATGATTGTCGTCGGTCTTGCCTGGAACTATGGCTCTCTTGAACGCGACGTTGCATCAATCTATCGAAGCGTATGGATAGTAGTCGACCCCTGGGTGGTTCTTAATTTGAGTGATCGGTTAATACTCAATAGTTATCTTTTTCTTTCCCCTTCAGGGTCCGCTATTCCTGTGCCTCAAGAAAGCTGAACACTGGATTCATGTAAGCTGGCCAAGTAGAATCGCTCCACACTAAGGCGACTATAGTCTCAAGCCCATGAAATCTTTTCAACAAAATCTCGGACATGTCCTGAACATTGGAAAAAGACGCCAAGCAAACATGTTTGATATTATTCCTCTGCGTCAATGATAGGGTGTTTAAGATCCTTTGCAGGGTATCCATATCATGAAACGCGAAAGTATTTAGGTCATACATATTGTATGCTTTCTCTTGGTAAATCTGTCGACATACTTGCCAAAGACAAGTCACTGGTAGATTCTTGTAGTAGGCCAGACCTCCTTTGGTGTACTTTATGTAGCGTATGTCATTACGTACTTCAACACCACGTTGAAAATGGTGATAGAGTACCTCGATGATTTGGGAGGGAGGAGATAATAGGCCATAGATTTGAGTTCGAATCTCAGGTGGTAAGCGTAGGAAGGGCGAGAATGTTTTATTATTTTCTATGCTACTATATTTTCCCATCAGTAAGTAGTACCAAAGTAAACGGCACTGATTCCTTACACTGGTTTGAGTTTCATACAAAGGCCAGCTTTTCGCCCTCGGCCCCGCCCCCGTTTTCGCTTTAGCTCTCTTTTGCCAAACCGTTCATCCTCTCCATCGGCTTCTCGGGTAAATGTACCAAACGATAACCATTCTCGTCGCTGACTCACTCTTCCAGTGGCTGTCAAGCCTGGTGGTAGAACTGTGAATACTTTTCCTGATGCTAAATCTGTACATCTTGTCTCTCCAATCCGTTGACTGGTACTTCTGATTGCAGATAGATATGCATGATACGACAAGAAAACAGCATTTGATGCTAGATCTATATAAGTTTTCTCTCTGACCCATTGATTGGGTGGTTCTGTGGGATGAGTTTTCATGATTGCCGATAGATATCATCGAGATCAGTGTGGTAATGATCGTGTCAAAGTAGAGCTTTGATACGGTAAGCTGTCAAAGTTAGATGTAGGTTCTTAGGGGGTTTTGCGTCGAAAACGAAACAACAAACGCTCTAGACCTACCTAGTAAGCTTGAGTTGACGAAAGTAGCAGTGTAAAAACATGCTAACCGAAATACTGCCTAAAACGATTTTTCCACCAGTAGATACTAGACTTGCTGCTGCTTCATTGACCATCTGATAAACAAGTAATTCTAGTTTAAAGATGAAAGAGATGAGGATTGAAAAGGTGTTTGAATAGAAAATGCGTTTGCTTTTCGGCATGCTACATGTTGCAGCCTGGCCATCACGTGGCAAGGGCATCAATTGTGTAACCTCTCAGCACGTCGTACTTAAATAAAGTACTCGTCGCCTCTTGTGTCTATTTAATTTCAAACGAGGAAGCAAACTCGTGTTGATGCTATAAAGGTGCGTGAAAAGCAATGCAATCTAACTCCATTGCTAGTCACTCCTTACTCCCACCTAATCATTGTCAATAGTTCAGTATCATATTGCATCGTGATATCTGAGCCAGATCACTTCATTCTTCATACGTTTGCGCAGCTTGAGACTGATTTAAATATCTACCAGAACTACTTCACCCACCACAGCGCAGCTTCAAACAATTCGTCGTGTCTTATACAAGTCGAACTCGCAAAAATGAGAGAGTCCAAGGTGTCATCTAGACATACAAGTCTACCCAAATAGCGTTTTGGAGAGACAAGATGGACAGAGCTAAAGTAGCACAAAGTTCTTCGGTCCTTACCATTTCCAACAATTTTATCCATGGGAAAACAAAAGCCACCTGCATCTTGAGGCGTAGATAGGGATCCTATAACTGAGGAAGATGATTCCAATCATTCAGAAATTCAAATAGGACTAACTTCTACCCCAAAAAGACTGTATGAAGTCATTCGACTTTTGTGCAGATTGGCTACTGACGCTGGAATAGTTTGCTAAGGAGCGACAAACGGTTCGCAATTTTTTGCCTCCCACCAGAAGTCCGTAATCAGATTTGCGATTTACTCGCACCTACTCCTCAGTACATCATGGTGAATTATCAACTGCATGAACTCCGCTGGCGACAGCAAAACCACATCCGCTATAAGCAATGGACCAAAGGCGGTATTTTTTACCAACAGCAATATCAAGTCACCCGTCTCTGGCTAGTGAACCGACAGCTTTACCATGAAACCAAACACATTGGTCAGTCTAGCTGGAGTTGCAACACCTTTGGATTCAAAAATCACCTTGTTGCTCTGAGATTTGCCAGTCATGTATCTTTGCAGCAAGCGAAATCTATTCAGAACATCAGTCTTGGGACAATCTATTCTGCTAGACAAATCAATTGGAAAACCTGGAAAAATCTTGCGGGGCTGCGGCTTATCACGATTTGTGAACATCGGTCCTCCAGGAGGCCCGAAATTGAGCAGTTGATACAAGCATCTAGAATGAAGTTAGGGTGCACGTTCGAGCTTGATCTGGAGTTTAAATACACATTCAATGAGGATATAAATCATGCCTTCCTCCGGAAATGTGCAATCGAGTCTATCTTCGGCTTTGGGAGCTACCGGCTTAGTGCAGAGGAAGAAGAATCAGGTTCTAAAAAAGACTAGCGTTGAATGGGAGGCGAGCGATAATGATTGTAGGCGATTGAAGGTTCGAAGATGGAAGTTTGAACCACATCAACGCGAACTCAGGAGGAACTGTGGGTTTTGGCGATGGGTCACTCTATGTATATGAGTAGTGTGCTGTCTATCGAGGTGTGTTGAGTAGCCATCTTTTGAATCAATATTGGTATCGATACATCTCAGTGGAATCCCACGTGCATTCGATGTCACCCTGACGATCTTTACTCATGACTGGTCTAGGCTTCGAAAATGATTGAAAGTCGAAATGGTTTGAGAATTTACGATTTTTATGCTATGGAGCAAAGATGAATGACCCAGTCCTTCAATATTATTTATTCTATTCTTCTCTCGAAATCGTATCTCACACTTACTCAATGTGTATTTTCATCTCCAATATTACCCTCCACATACCCTAGACTTAATCTGTCCCCGAGAAACTAATACTCTTGCTAGTTTTCCCGGCCTGCGCAGCATCCAATGCAACATTCGTCGCGAGCTTCTTTTGTTGCGTTGCAAGTTCACTCGAGCCTAATCATTCATTAGCGTCATCTTTCAACATTATCATTCACTCCAAAAGACACGAAAAGGGAGCAACTCACTCCCAGCATTCCCCTGTGCTGTCTGTATCTGAATCCTCAGAACGTCTGTCTGTAATTTTAAAACCTTGTTCTTAATTTTTCCAACCTGCAACGCAGCACCAGCGGTAGAGCTCGTCCCACCTGCAGCATCAATAGCATCATTGAAACCACCGGTACCTACTTCAGCGTCTTCGGAAATTTGAGCAGCTTTAGTTATTATAGCTAGATCAGCAGTTGAGACACCGGCGAAGTTTGAGGTATCGATCTAGGGGTTTGTTAGGGGCTGAGACTTTCTGAAGACGGAAATGGACAAGAGAAAATGATGATGAGAGTCCGTACAGGAAATTTGGCATTGACTTCCGCCAGAGCATCTCCGCCTACTCCGTCAGAAACTTGGAAGGTACTGTAGTCTCCTGCAGTAAGAACACTGGCACTTGTAGCTTTCGTGGTAGCACGTTTGGCTGTATCAATTGGTGCCGCAAGGGTTGCTACTGAGAGCGAGAAGAGAATTGCGAGGTTCGAGAATTGCATTTTTAGTATTTATTGAATTTTTAAGACTAGCCTCGAAGGATTTTTGGTATATGTATATAGATATATATGTAAAGGTAGAATCAATGGATTTCAGAAAAGGAACGATCTACAGCACAGCTGAAAAGAATGTATGAATAATAAGAATAGAACAATCAATGAGGTGAAAACGAATGATGAAATGGAAAACACGGTGAAGGAATGAAGTGAACTTATAATAAAATCATTACGTTATCACATCACTTCATCTTATTTCATCAACAAATGAAAAACATCAGATGAACTATCAAGGCAAATTCATCCGAGACATCGGACTGCTTTGGCCAAGAAAGCATACAATGCAATCGCCAGATTTCTCTCATAGGAAGCCGCTCATATCACCTTGGCGATGCATTTCAAGAATTAGGATGAAATAGAAATAGAATGTTACACCGGTAAGAATTTTAGAGACAGTTGGTGTGAGAGGTTCCTAATGAGCTCCTGTTTTGGCAAGGGTTCTTCAGGCGAAGGGGTCTTGCGAAACCCCCTTAGATGTTTGGACCACATTATAAAATTTTGGCGCTAGCAAAGTTCGAATTTAACCGCAACACTGAAAGCTTTTCTAATTATTTTCTGAGACGTTGGTATTTTTTCACCGATTTGAAATACCAAATATGTCGATACTACTACATCCACCAATGTTCGAAAGACACATGAGCATTCCAGAACGGTGAAATAGAATGATTATTGTTTTCTTTATCCATCATCAAAGTAGACGAGCGCACTTGCATATCCAGCAAATTCATGAGCTCATAACGATAAGTATACAAAACAGGGTATCTAAACATTAAAAAGCAAAAGACAACTGACCAAGCCACAACAACTTCATATCCATGATCAATATCTACTCCTCGCCCCACCCCCCTGATTTTCCTTCCATAAACAGCAAATACTCTTACTTTCACACCATCTCTTAACCTCTTTCGGAGCCACCTCCCCATCCCAACCGACTTTACCCAACGCTCCCGTATTCAGCCATGATGCCAAATCTTCCAGGACAATAGGATCGTAAAGTAGTATTTTCTCATGCCAGCTTGGGTTTGAAGGATCTTGCGATGGTGGCGCACTGGTGATTGCAGCATAAATATGAGTGAAAAGTTGTGCTTGTTGAGCCTCATCATCTTGATCGTTTTTGGCAGGAGATAATTTTAGAGCTTTGGAAGCTTTGCGAATTTGGGAAGGAGATCTTTGTAGCAGTGAAGGTGTCATAGGGTGATCAAAATCGGAGACATCTTCGATGGGTTGTTTTCCCTTCTTCGATTTCTTCGGTGTACGAAGCTCGGAGAGAGAGGTATCACTGTCCATTTCCGAAATTGCTACTGAATCTGTAATCTTCGACTTCGCCTTCGACTTGGTAGTGGTAGTATTTTTGGTCGACTGTCCGCGACCTCTTTGAGAAGAAGAAATGCTGAGTTCGACACGTGTGGATGAAGTGGCTACAGCTTTAGAGATTTCCGATGGTTCTTGAGACGTGATTGGTATATTACCCTGCAGCACACCTAAGGCTGGACGGTTCTGACTCTCAAAACACTGAACCAATAAATCAATCATCTTTTTACGACTTTTGATTTGTTTGAACTTATATTTTTGAATTTCTCTAGATAGTTGTGGTGTAGTGAAAGATTCATAGTCAGGCATCTCAGCGGCTGTAGTGTTCTTAGGAGTACCTTTGGCAACGGAAGCCTTGGTATTTTTCTTTCGTGGAGAAGACGTAGAGACATCCTTAGAAGAAGTCTTAGGTTGAAGAGGGCTGTTCGACAGTTCCAGACTAATGGCCATCTCTATCGGTCCCATTTGTCTCACTGGCACTTGAGTGGAAGGTGGTCGGTTATCTTCAATTTCATCAATATCGAACCACTCGTTCTTGGCAGGAGTTATCCATGATGACGAAGGTTTTTGAGAAAGTATTATTCTGTCCGGCTTTGCAACAGGCGTGTGTGCCAAGTCTACCGTCTCGATATCCATCAGATCCCCATGATCATCACGCGCTGCAATTGACCAAAGATTTCGCTTCGCAGCTATTACAGCCTTCGCTTTTTCAGCTATCTTCGTAGGCGGCGATATAAAAGGATCGTCGTAATCATCTAATTCATTCGATGCTTGCATAGCATCATGCAGGTCGCGTAATAAAGAAGGTGAATCCTCTCTTGCCAATTGACTTGAAGTTCCAAATACAAAATCTTGGTTACCCACTTGCTTAAGCGCAGACTCTGGGGAGAGAAGAATTGGTTCTTCTGCCGAACCCTTTTTTGATTTCGATAATCCTTTTACTGGACTCTTTGACCTTGGTTTGGGGGGCATCTTAAAGCCATCACCTGTGAGTTCTCCACAGGTTGCATTGGGGAAGTATTGAAGCAACGGCGCAGGCGCATTGTTAATGATATTATCATCTTCTGTTGTTGCATAAGCAGAAGTTGCGAGGTCCGTCAAAGTTCTAGCCTTTTTCTTCACAGCTTTTTCCTTTGCGGCTTTTGTACTAATTGCTGTAGGAATATTGGTGTTGACCATCTCGATTAGTTTCCGTTTCCTTGTTGCAGCAGCTCCATTAGATACACCTGAGGATATCCGCTTCTCAATAGAGTTTGCCTCACTATTGCTGAAACCAAAACTTCCCAATAGTTCGGTAAATCCTTGATTAGAGCTCGAGCCGCCAGCTTCTGGACTATCGTCATAGTCAACTAGAACTTGATTCGATTTTGGTGGAGTCCAGTTCTTTCTTCTCTTGACCGCCTCAGCTAAACCAAATCCTTCCTCTGCAAGTATATCTTCGACGACAGTATTAGATGCAAAATGCTTGCTGAGTTTATTAGCTTTGGGAGTTTCGATTTTATCCGGAATTGAGGCATTGGTGGTCTTAGTCACTCTGCCCTTAGGCATCTTAGGTTGTGCAATTGTGTCCCCATCCGATTTCTTAGCTCGCGGCTTCCTTACTGCTTTCTCTTTTGGCACGGATTCACTTCCAGCTTCAACATCGGTTTTCTTCGCCCTGGGCTTGCGCGGAGCTTTCTCCTTCACCCCCTCACCGGTAACATCATCACTTTTCTTAACTCTTGGTTTGCGCGCTTTCTTCTCCACTGCCGCCTTAGAAGCGTCTGGCACAATTGCACCGGTGATGCCCTCATCCTCCCCGGTTTCTCTAAGATCATCCGCTTTCTTAGTTCTAGATTTTCGCGGTTTCTTTTCCGGAATCGTCTTCGAACTTTCTTCTACCCCTTCCAAAATTCCTAGTACAACTTCCTCTGCTGTATTCTCATCCTTCTTCTTTGTAGTCTTACGGGGTGCCTTTGTCACTTTCTCAATTGGTTCATCTTCCTTCTTCGCAGCGGGTTTTCGTGGAGCTTTGGGTTTTGCAGCCTTCTTTCGTCCATTTCCATCATGTTCCGTGGCCGTCGCTAATGATTGAGCGGTATTAAATCCTTGCAAAGATCCAGAGGAACCTCTTCGTAATAAAGTCGACGTGGTGGTGAAAGTTGCTGTCGCGTCCAAGGGAATAGATGCAGCACCACTACCTCTTTGGAGGTTGGGGGCTTTCTTCTGCTTAATCATTTCATCCAAAGAAGGTAAAGGTGGTGAGGATACATTGTAAGATACCGATTGTCGCGGGGGCGAAGAGGAAATAATGAAGACATCTGTAGTAGCCATATTGATACTGTTACATAAAGGAACTTTGCGCCAGGCGCGGTGCCCTGAAAGCAGAAGGCGCAACACAGCTGAGTAAAATTTTCATGTAAATACAATGAGAAATTCTGAAGAAATGTACTGATACTTCAAGTCATACCATATTGACAATTGTTGGTGGGCGCCATCTTCACTCTACAGAACCTCGATCTTTGTTTACGAATACGAATAAGCAATTCACGCCACTAGTTTGAAACCTGACTCGAAAAGTGCGCCAAGTCACATGTCCGATGATCCAAGCCAGCAAGCAATGAGCCACAACACACCAGCCATAACAACCTTGAATATATGGCACCAAGTCAAAATCTCTCGCTTACCATAAACCCTCATTTTCCAAGCCCCACGATCGAATTCCAATTTCACTCAACCTCGACGACATCAACGCCAATTTAAGAACTCCCTAAACCTTTCTTCTTCTCACCAACCAATAAGTCGCAAAAATGGAAAACGACAAGGGAGAACTCGTTGATCTGTACGTTTTTACCAATTTTCGATATGCGCTCACAGTTGTTGCGTTGGAAGGTCTTGAAAATGGATTCTAATCTTTAATTCTTCATACAGTTACGTTCCACGTAAGTGCAGCGCCACCAACCGTATCATCAAGGCCAAGGACCACGGATCCGTCCAAATCTCCATCGCAAAGGTCGACGAGAACGGACGCGCCACCGGCGAGAACCAAGTTTACGCTCTTTGCGGTTTCATCAGAGCTATGGGAGAGTCCGATGATTCTTTGAACAGATTGGCTCAACGTGATGGTTTGTTGAAGAACGTCTGGAGTGGTCAATCCCAAAGATAAATTCGCACTATTCGGTTCTTTCGGTAGGATTTCCCTCGATTCGATACGATTTCGATACTATAATTGTTTGAATTCGGGACTGATTGGTTTGAATAGATTTGGGCAATTTTTCTGGTTGGGATACCTGGGAAGGATGGGGATTGAAGAAATGGAGGACGTACATCAAGTGAAGGAAGAATGAGCTTTATGGCCATCATATGCTGAAATAGTCACTTCACATCTGTGATTACGAATCGACGATACATTCCACATCCAACATATTTTTTTTCTTTTTTGGTGACGGTGACCTTGATAGTGTGTGGACCGGGCATTTCTTTTAACATGTAGCACCTTTCGCGTTCCATACTGGCTTTTCGAAACTTCTCGGACCACACTTCCAAGTGATACATTTGTTCGAGGAGTCAGATTGCTTTTTTGATGGTTTTCATTAACCCATTTAGCAGGACAAGCCGGAGAATGATATTTATACTGGCCTTCTGATGAGCTGTGACGTTAGAGCATCTCGTTGGAGCACAGATACGGGTCTGACATTTTTTTGGAGGGAATACTATTCTGAGGCTTTATTTATCACATTTTTTAATGCTGTAGAATGACGAGTGTCTTCTGGTTGGGTCGAAGCTATCCTCAAAA